TCTTGCTAGAGAAATGTAACATTTATGTGATGTTCTCTTTAACCATTCTGTAAATAATTCAGTTTTCCCCATATGTCATTTAAAAGGAAGAAAATATCAGATTGATTCCATGCATCCTCAGCCAACAAACGATAAAGAAAACAATATCCTGGTTATACAACTGGTTCTGTTACAGTTCCTATGAAGTGTCTGATGAAAGACATAAGCATGTAAGCAAAATAACTTCTGCAAGGTGACAATTTATGTTGTTTAACTTTTGACCTGTGCTGCTTTTACATACTTCATGTTGTCAGAGAAACTGGTTGCTTGAACTAAAAATACCTCTGTGGAATTCTGACCTGACAAAAACACTCCAGGAATTTGCTGCTGTGTCCACAGAAGCTAAAAGCAATGAGCTCCAGGATGCCAGCTCACCAGTCACCAAAAGAAGCCTGATCTCGCAGATCTCATCAGTGGGTCTGGGTTTACATGGTCATGTTAAGTATCCACAGAAAGCTTTCTTGGTTACAAGCTGCCTTACAACAACAACCTGTAGTTACAGTTAATCTTTTTTCCAATTTTAACAACTTCTGCCTGTTGATTAGAATTTCCTGAGTATATGAAGGCTTTAGGTTGGGATTTTTTTCACTGTTTTTCTTTTAAGGTGGAAAAAATTAATCCATCAGAAATGAGAGTTGTATCCAAATGTGAAAAAAGGATCATAAATCTTCACTGACAAAAATATTAAAATACTCTTGAAGCAGGGCGAAAAAATCAAACTATTTAAGAAGGCGCTAGGTCTAAGAAAAATAATTTTGAATGCTATTTTCTTGACAGTTTTGTTCCTTATGTTGCAGCCTGTCCCTAATCACTGCTACACAACAGAGGAGATAATAAAATTGGAAAAGGAAAGGGAGAACAACAAAGATGATAAAAGATACAAAAGTTTTCTTATGTGAAGGACAAGTCACCGGAGCAGGAATCTTAATTTTGGAAAAGACAGGTGACCAAAGTATTTTGGTAAAATGATAAGCAGCAATTGTGCTGAGTAGGGAATGATTTTTCACCGTCTCTAGTAAACACATGAATATTTGGAGAGTATCTTCACTCACACAAGTGCAAGGGGTGCAACTGCTTGCATGATTTTTATGGATGTTAGTTTCTCATTCTTCAAAAGCAACTCGAAACTGAGGAAATAAATTCTTTCTCAGGATATCCCCAAGATTATGAATCAGAGTTCCAGGAACTTATTATTATATTCTTGCCATGCTTTTACAGCTTTTTCCTAGGTGTGTATCCCCTGATAGCCATCATCAACAGGATGTTTACCCAGCTGAACTTCTGCTGATCCAGCACAGTTGTTCCATGAGTCCAGTGTGTATCTATGATGAAAAACTTAACTAGCTTTAAATTCTTCAGGTCTCACCATAGTTCTGAGGCATAGGTGCTGCAACGCTTTGTAATGATTTAACAGAAACGCATCATCTAACAGGATTATCTTGACAATTTTAAATTCAGCTGAAAACAAGGGATTCTGGCTCAAGTGCATCCTTGAACTCCCTACTTGAAAATCTTCCCCACTGACCATGGCTGGTAAGCAGGAATTCCCTTCAGGACCTGGCATAGTTATTTTCACAGTTTGTATCCAGGGCAAGGTTTTCTTTATCCCCACAGTAAGTCAAGAGATTAATTTTCATTTTGACTGAGCTCTTACATATATGCTCTGGCATTGTTTTAATGGTTTGCATAAGTACAGTTCCTTAGTTCTTTCACAAGCATTTTCTTACAAATTATTAGCATCCATCTTGACATTCCCTCATTCCTCCCTGATCAGCCTACATTTTTCAAAGAATAGAGGTTTTCCAGATCTCTCCTCTGCAGGTACAGCCAATGACCAATTTCACTTAATACTTGAGGTGCATATCCAAAAACCTTGGTTTTTGCTCAGATGAATGAAGATAAAATTTCCATGAAGTACAGTTTTGCCAAATGTCACCATAAATCACAATATTAATTCATTTTAACAATTTTCCAGTGTCACCTGTATACATTTAGTTCTCCTCTTTTTTGCATATATTCCTGCAGGCCTCTATTTCTTACTGTGTTGTAGTCAACTTCTACACCTTGCAACTTACTGCTCTATTTTTTTTTTTTAGTATCCCATAAATAGTAGTTTATGACCAAACAAATTAATTTCATCTCTAATATCTAAATTCTCTCCAGCATCTTGTCTGCTTTAAAGAATTTCTTCATAAAATTCCTTTTCATGTTAAGTTGAAGAAAAGCTCTATACACCAGTCTGTCTCTTAATCTTTTTACTTTCTCCTTGAGAGTTACAAGTTCTTCAAGGCAAAACTGGCTCTAGTACATTGCCTGTTTTTTGTTTTGGCTTGCTTTCTTCTTCCCGAGTGGAAGAAGAAAGTAGCAGTGGACCTTGTCCCAATGAAATTCTAATACACTGAGAGCTCCTCAGCACACCCCTGGTTTGCAGAGCATTGTTCCAGTCTTCTTGTCTTTCTTTTTTTTTGCCCTGCAAGTCTTTATTCTGCCTGGTAATTTTAGTCCTAAACACAGCCTAGTAAATAATTTCAGGTTTTCTAACAGAACTGTATTTTACATTCTCAAAAAAAAAAGATTAATTTTGAGTGGTGTGTTACAATGTACGATGTACAGCAAATGGTCAGCCGTCACTTCCTTGGAGTTTCAGTGTTCCTTTAAAGCCAGAAAGTATTGCTAAAGGGCAGTTTTCACCTTACATTTGTTGCATACACCTGGATCACCTCAGGTGGAAACCAGTAACTGCTGGTGGATATTTTTTAAGTTTTGAATTTGAAAAAGTCAAGTATGAAGAGCCTACTAATGCTTGCCTTTCTTGGGATCTGACTGGCCAGCTTCAGTTTCACTTCTTTATTTAGCTTAGCTATTTGCTGAATATTAAAAATGAATGTTCTCTAGAGTTTTTTGCTAAATGGCTATAGTTAAAGGTTAATATGAAGCCTTCTTTTTAAGCTTCTTGGAAAGCGGACACAAAATGAACAGGGAACAGTAAGGAATAATTACAAAGGAAAATTAATTCCTTGTTGAGCAAATATGAAGGATTAGATGTTGTAAATTAGCCTTGACAACTGTATCCTTGAAAGAGAGAACTACGTAAGGCCTTGAAAAGAGCAAAAGCAGACTTGCAGAATAAATTAAATGCAATTAACTGGTGAGAATCTGTTTATTACAGTTCACTGTCTGGCTTATTTTAAAAAAAGCATTTTTGAGGTTAAAAAAAGGCACTTTGGTAAATACAATCTCAGCCTAATAACTGATATTACTTAGCCAAGAATTGAAGTTTTATATTTCAGGTTGTTGAAAATCTAATATAATTCTTAGATGCTAGAATAGGCAAGCTTCTCCTGCCATCAAAGAAAACATACCCTAAACCTCAAACCAGGGAGAACTGACTCCACAAGATGACTTGTATGATCAGTGAAAGATCCTTTTACATTTTAAATACTAAAATAAGATCTATCTTTCCAGAATAACCCACTCCTGGCCACATTACTTCAGAGCCTTGCTATTCAAGTCTTGCTATTTCCAGGGAACGGATAAAGTTCTTATTTCTCAAAGAATTTTGAAAAGCTTGATGTTGTCAGCAGTTCCCTTTTGTTCTTTTATAGTTTTACTTTGTTGAAACCAAACAAACATCTGCTTAGCCTTTCAGAGTACCAGAACAATCTGGGGCCTGTCTGTAGTGACAGAGGGTGATGGGCAATGCCAACACTGCTGTCTCCAGCAGAGCAGGATGGGGTAAAACAGTTTGTTGTGTCTGCCCAGCAGATGTAAAGTCTGTGAAGGAAATTGCACAGTTTCTAAGATAATGAGGTACAATTAGTGCCAGATGTGAATGTGGCAACTTTACAGTAAATAAACAATTCTGAACAATGAAGCTATAAAATGAAGAAACTTTACCTGAAGGAGAGAATGCAAACGGAAGCAGAAGTTTGACTTAAGCTTCTGCTGGTTTGCTGTGCAAGTCACTTCCTGTGTTACGGATATGCTATGCTGTGGCATCTTCATGGAATATTGTAAGAATTACAGATTTTTAGAAGTTATTCCTTATTAAAAGCTGTGCAAGATAAGCAACTAAAAATCACCAGCAGTAAAGCTGAGGATAACAAAAAAAAAGCATCTTAGGAAAACTGCTTTCCTCTGAATAGGCTGTATGGAGATTTGCTGTGTGAATGCACCCCCTTGGTTTTTTCTACTAGAAAATGTGGACTGACATGAAATAATACTGTGCAGAGACTCTTAAAGAAATTCAAGCTGACCCTGGGCTTTTGCCAAGCACTCTGAGAAAGGTCAACATACTGAAGTTGAGCTGCAGCGTTTCACCTACTCGAGAGGTCAAGGGAAGTGTTGCATAAACTGACAAAGCATCTGAGCAAAGATCCTGAGCGCTGTTTTCAGGTTTCGATTTCTAGATGCTGACTCACCCTCCAAATACCAGTATTTTCTTAACAGCATAGTTGCAGGGGATCTCAGTGAAGATTTGTAAACATGGCACATCTGAACAGATGCATTTCGGTATTTCATGTGCCCTCACTTATTCAGTGTGCCCAGTGTGCCGGCGTGGGGCTCGTGCAAAGGGACATACAAGGCAAGAGCAACTTCTCAAAACAACTAAAACAACTAACAAGTCTCCCCGAGCAGGTTTCCTTCATACTTGCCACTTTATGGGTACGAACTCCCAGAAGTTGTTTCGTTTTGCCCATTGAACTGATACGCCCCCAACCAGCGGTGTCGTATTAACAGAGCCTGGAGTTTGGTGAGACTGAGTAACTGGAGAGCTGCTGAAAGCGCTCCAGTGGTTTGAAAGCTTGTGGCTTGCAGAGCAACTAAAGGTGTTATTCCTGTGAAGTTGGCTTTAAATTCTTCTCACTAGCAATAAACTGTGTTCTAGAATTACTCACTTTTTAATGTCTTACTCTTGTATACTTGCCTCCGGCCCGGCCGGCGCGGCAGCGGCCGCCATGGGGAGGGTGCGGGCGGCCGGGCGGCGGCTGCTGCGGCGGCTGCGGGGCGCCGAGGGGCTGCGGGAGACCTGCCGGCAGTACCCGCTCTCCTGCTGCCTCCTCCTGGGGCTGGGCACCGCCACCCTCCTCCTCAACCGGTAAGCGGGCGGGCGGGGAGCCGGGCGCGGGCGGCGCTGCGCCTTCTCACGCAGCGGCTTTTCCTTCCTGTGTGTCTGTAAGGTATCTTCATGTTTTGATGGTCTTCTGGTCGTTCGTGGCTGGGGTCGTCACCTTCTACTGCTCCTTGGGACCGGACTCCCTCCTGCCCAATATTCTGTTCACAATAAAATATAAACCCAAGGTAAATATGCCTCTGAAGAGTCTTGTGCTTTTTAAAAATATGATAAGAATCTATATAGAGTAGCAAATCTTGCCTGAGCCAAGCTGCTTTCAGAAGTGTTGTGCGTCAGTACAGCTCGTACACTCCTGCTGACAGGTGTTTCGTGGCAAATAGGTGATGGTTAAGACTTTGAATTCTTCGCGTGCTTCTGCATAGTCCCGTCAAATCCACGTACGGCTGCAAGGCCGGGTGCTGGAGTGTCCAAGGATGTTGTTTCCTTCTTCCCTCATTGTACATCTCGAGCATTTGAGCAGCAGGCAGTAGAGAAGCTATGTTGTTGTTTGCTCCTTTAACGGGGCTTTTTTTTTTTTCTAAAGATGCCCTCCTTTTGGTAGGCCAGTGGTGAGTCTTTTCTTGCTGTAATCAAAATTCTGTAAGCAGTACTGCACTTCAAAAAGAATAATGTTCCCAAAGCAAATTGCTCTTTTCTAACTTAATTCAATGTAGAATTTCATAGGACTAAAAAGGTAGAGTTGCAATAGTTCAAGGCTATTAGTAAGCCAGAGAGACCATCTGGTCTGTTACTATACCAGATGTCTAGTAACATCTAATGTAGAGAGAGGTGAGTGGAGATGTGAAAGGATATCTGTGTCCTCTCACTTTGTTTCAGCAGAAGCAATTTTCCTTTTTTTGGTTCAGTTGTTTGTCATATCATGCTTTGTTATCTTGTTTTCCTGCTGGAAGAACACGTTTATCTTTATTCAGTTCTCTGTAATAGCGTGCTCTGAAAGGAAATTTACAAATATGTCGCTGTATTAATAGAGTTATTTTGGAGAATGTAAGCTTGTCCAAATCTCTTAGCAGTTGGAATTGCCGGAGCTGTTTCCCCACGGTCACAGTTGTGCTGTATGTGGCAAGGTCAAATGCAAGAGGCACAGGTAAATGACACGTGTGGCACTCGTAAGCTTGGTACTGCTGCCATTTGACACATCACAGTAGGAAAAAGGCAATTGCACATGGTTACATAAACTTCTCCGTGCTCTCCTACAGACCTACTTTGCTTCTGGAAAACTATCAGCCATGGCTGGATCTGAAAGTGCCTTCCAAGGTTGATGCATCACTTTCAGAGGTAATTGGTGCATTGTTTCCTTAGTACATTAAAATTCTGCAGGTTTTTATTAGTCTTTGAAAGCTTTTGCTTCTGGTACACTAGATGGTTCACATGTACCTTGCAGGCATTTTAACTTGTTCAAGAAAAAGTCAAGTCAAAGGAGTGTTTGCTGGAGCAGGGAGCCAAGATGACCTGCTTTTAAACATGGACTGCCTGTGTAGCAGTGCACCTGGAACATAGAAGAAATGTCTGTGTAAATTGGGAAGAATAATGGAAAGATCAGTTAAAATTGAGCACGTCTGAGTCATAAAAAGTTAAGGATTTCAGCCTGCTTAGTTTCCTGGAGTTGAGGGTAAAAGATGATTTGCTCCAATTACAAAAGTTTTGTAATTAAGATGATAGTTTGATGGTAGGGACCCTACAAGAAAGATGGAAAGAGGCTATTACAAGAGTGTGGGGGAATGGATTCAGACTGATAGAGTAGATATTAAGATTAGATATTAAGAAGAAATTCTTTACTCTGAGCATGGTGAGGTGCTGGAACAGGTTGCCTAGAGAACTTTTGGTTGCCCTATCCCTGGAAGTGTTTGAGGCCAGGTGGGATGGAGCAGCCTGGCCAAGTGGAAGGTGTCCCTGCCCATGGCAGGGGGTGGGAAGTGGATGATCTTTAAAAGTCCTTTCCAACCCAAACCATTCCATGAATCTATTTAAAATCATCAGACAAAGCTGTAACAAAATCTGTCTTAAAAAAGAAATCGCTGAATTTACTCAAAGAAGAACAGCATATGTATCTTTTGTAGCAAGACTGTAAATCAGAAATTTTGTTTTGTTGTAATATCTTTTAAAAAAGAGCTGTTTGAAGAGCAGTTTTTAGTTGGGCTTGGTTTTTTGTTTATTTCTTTGCTTAGGAATTGATGAAATGTATTGGGAGCTAAACAGCTAAGCTTTGTGTTTTTTGAAGCTAGGAAAATACACGAGCTTTATATGTAGATTAATATCCATTTATTTAGAAGTCCAGCTTTGGAGTTCTGTGGTAGGAGGATGAACACCTGGCATGGCAGAAGTGAGTCAGTTTTTGTGTGTCAGTTCTTGCAATTAACAGCCTGGTGTGTGAAGTCAGAGCCATGTGTGTCTGTGGTACAAGCTAACACTTTAGTTCTGCTCTGTGAGACACTGTCCCAAGCATGGCCCACTGAAGGAGTGGGAGAAAAATTAAAACCTTGATGAAGGCATGGACAGTTGAGAAATGTTTTTAAAAAAGAACAAGTAACAACTTTTTGACTTCCTCTAGTTGAATGAAATGACTTCTTCTGTGATTTCAGAAATCAACATTTATTCTTTTAAAGTTATTTAATCTATTTTTAAACTAAGTTTAAGTGTATTAAAATGACAATATTGCTGAATAGAATTTCAATAGACTCTTGTTTCAATAATAGAATGTAAAATAAATGCTTCTATGCATTTAATATTTTTAGGATTTGTGGTACCAAATAGCTGTGGCAGTCTAACCAAGGAAGGATGTTGTAGATGCTGAAGAACTGGAAATTTTCTTGTTTGGCTTAAATAGGAATTTGATGCTGAAAAGGTTCTTTGTAGTATCTCTTAGTAAGTGATATTAGTAGATACCGTATTATCTTCTTGGCATTTTCTATGTGGTTGCTGTAGTTGTGCTTTCACCGAAATAGTGGCCTTTTCTTTGCTGTTACTTTCCACTTCAGCAGCGTGTCCCAGGCCCTGCTTTATTTAGCACTGCGGATGTGGGTTATGTGTATCCATGCCCATGCTTCTCATTCCTTTACCTCCTTTGTGTGCTTACCTGGAGGGAAGAGCCTGAGTTCTGGACCTTCCCAGGGCATCAAGCCATGCTCACCCTCCTCGATGGACCCAAACAAGTAGTCTGAGCCACCTTTCTCACTTGTGCTGGGCAGATAGTTTTTGGGATGAGAAATCTCATTGCATGGTTCCTCATTGCAGCTCTTCTCTACTGGTTAAAAGTGTAGCAAGGGGTTCTGCCCACAATATATTCCTCTTGACCGCCTGCTCTGAGGATGCAGCATGTAATGCTGGCTTGGAATTGGATAGCCTGCTTCAGGTTGGAAGGAGAGACTGCTCTTACTTTCTTTTGTGGGTTAGTCATACATGAGAGAGAAGGTGATACAGTGTGAACTGAATTAAGGTTAATTAGATTCTAAAGGAGTGCGGAGTGCAGTCTGTTTCTAAAAAGCAGTTCCATCAAATATTTGGAATAATTTTGGATTTTTTATTATGTTTTAATTTTTCTAGTTCTTTTTTTGCAGCTTGAAGAATTTTGGCAATATTCTCATTTCCAAATGTTTCTAATTTGAACCAGGTGTGTAGCCTTCAAGCTTGTGTTTTCAAGTGCTTTCAGAATAATTTAGTACACACTCAAATCAAAAGAAATCCAAGTTTCCCTCAGAAGTATGAATTTTTCTGTCTTGGATTGTGATGATAGTTTGTCTCACTTTGCAAATTCTTAATGTTTTGCAGCGTTGTTTTGGTCTATTCAGCTGCTGTGTGTGGTTTAGAAGAATAACAAAACCCGTGCCTGGACATTGCTCCCTGCATTTGTTTGTTGTTATAGTTGAACGCTGAACTGTCTCAACCATGCATCCATCAATATTTTATAATTTGGACTGCATCCTGCACAAAAATAAAGCAATGACCTCAGTATAATTTTGTTTCCAGTTTCTAATCCATTTTGCGTTATGATTGTTTCTTCAGTGTTTTCCTTCTTTCTGAATTAGGACATGATATCAGTTGGTCATCTTTACATTGTGTATAAGCTACAGATTGTATAAAGGAGAATTTAATCCTGTTGTTCTGGTAATGAATTCATCTTTTTGTCTACAATCTCATTTTTTGCTATGTGAGGGACAGTTGTAAGTCAAATCTGTGGAAAGCTGCTCAGCTACTCTTTATCAGCATGGTGAAAAAAATGTCTCACTGGATCAAGGTGCTGCTGTCTTTTGATCTCACTTTTTAAATTCTTCTCAGGTTCTTGACTCAATTATTGGATGAGAATTTTTTTTTTTTTTTTGTTTTCTAAAAGCAAGAAATAGACCAATGCACGAGGAGAAATCAATTAGTGCCTGAATGTGCTCTTTGCAAGTTCTGAACTCTTGCAGTAACGCAATGGACTGTTTGCTTTCTTATTGGAATGGCTTGTTCTACCCCCAGAAAGTGGCCTCAGCTGTCAGGTTGTGCTGTCTTTTAAGGCTTTATAATTGTTAGTGTGGTTTATGTATCAAATCCTTGCTCCTTCTGTTCTGATTGGGCCTGGTAGTTCTGACCTGCTACTGATTCAGTCGTCACTTGTCTGCACAGTTCCTCCTCCTGACAATTGGGGTCAGCTGTGTGGCAGTCCCCAAAAAGCTTTTCTCAGCATCAAAGACTGACTAGCTTGCGGTGTTGCAGTGCATGCTAGAAAATAATTTCTCTTTCTTTTTTTTTTTTTTTGAATTTTTTTTTGTTTTTTTGTTTTTTAATTCAGCTCCTCCTTATATTGCTACCTGCTGCATTTGGTTTTACACTTGCAATCGTTTTCCAATTCAAAGCTGCCCACGCGTAGTAAAACCAGTCATTGTGCAAAATGCTTGCAAAATAGGTAAGCTTTAAGTGAAATGACTCATCATTTGTATTTAAAACTGAAGGATAATACTTTACAGACAAGGAAATGGCTTATCATTAGCTGTCATTTTTTGAGGTGTCCCATCTGCTTCATTGGTGTGTGTGAGGTGTGAGCAATTGAGCCTGAATAATATTTTTGTTGTTGATAGAATGGAAGTGGGTGCACATGTCCTGCTTGCCTGGTGCTTCATGAAAGTGCAGTGGATGATGTGGCCAATTTTTTTCTGTCCAGCAGAATCACACTGGCACAGTCTGGAATGCTGATAGGGTTCAGTGGAAAACAGTATGGACTGCATGCCTTGAAATCCAGTTAGTGGCAGTCAATGGCTTATTACTTCTTGAGCACTTCTGTTTTTTCACACAGTAGCTCTGTTTTAACTTCTTTACAGCACCTTGGTGGAAAGGAGCATCATACTTAACTGCCTCTGCCATGCCATGTGTTTAATTAATTTGCAAGTAGGGGCTGTTTTCTGTGTCCACACATTTTTTATTGGGGCTATATAGGTAACCTGAGTCCTAGTAGAATGTGTCTCGCCTTCTGATATCTTGACCGGTGATAAGAGGACTCCAGTGAAAAGTGCATTTTCAGTTAGTTGTCTGTCTCTGTGCGTGCTGTCTCTGTGTCTTTGTCTAGTGGGATTGTCTGCAGTGTTCTGTGGAAGCAGTACCATAAAGCTTGCTCTTACAGTGTGGCTGTGGAAGAGAAACACTGGCAAGTCTGTAAAATGGTTCAGCTAGTGCTCAGTTACTACAGCATGGGATGAGTCTGAAGGAGACTTTGTCTTCTACTTTTGAGTGGGAAGGGTCATCAGGTCTTGCACCTTTTTTTACTTTCCTTGCTTATTTAATAACCATGGGAAGATGAATCTCAGAAGAACCATGTTTTGCTCATGCAGCAGTAAGGATCAGATCTCTGTTGGAAACAGAGAAAATTCTTCTAGTGCCTTCAGAGGCCTCTATAGGACTACAGAGGAAGAGAGAGCCAAGAAGTTATGTTAGCATCTGATGAACTGAATTTGGAGTGGCACATTCATGGAAAGCTTGAGAGACACGCTCTCAGTTCAGAAGTAGTAGTCATAAATGAAGAAAGCTCTTCAAGAGGAGTTCATTGTATCACTTTGAATGCCTGTTCTGTGCTTGAAGGCTTTGCAAGTGCACTTTCCACTCCAAACAGAAGATGCTCTGCTGCTGTTGCTCCTGATGGGGAGGCACAGAGGAAAAGTGGAGGAAGAAGGAAAGGGGCTCCTTTAATAGACAGATGGATTTTTTTGCAAGCTTTCTGTAAGGCACTTCTTCTGAAGAGTGTACTTTGAGCCTTGAAAAAGGTTTATTTTGTTAGAAACTCCGCATGAAGAAAAATAGTGTCGCAATACCTGTGAGACTGAGATTTCTGTGGAGTAAATTGATGGCTCGTGTAGTGGCAGTGCTATGGAAGGCATCGGGGAAATTGATTTAAGCAGTCTTTTATATACTATATACTGCTTATATACTTTTATATAAAAGCTTTATATACTGCTTTTAAGGCCAATGGCCTGTGCTTGCTGACTGGAGCTGGATGAGGTCGTCTTTCCGTTGTCTGAAGATTGACTTCCATAGAAGGTTCTCTGGGATTTCTTAATCTCTTCTAGACTGGGAATTGAAGCATCTGTTGTCATTTCCCTCACCCTTCCACTCCGCTTATAAATGGAAATATGAGATAAGGGGGGCAGGGATGACACAGGACAACATGATAAAACATTTAGCTTACCCATCCGTCATTAATACATGATGGTATTACAGTTTTGAGATCTATTACTGCTGTAGCACATAAGGTTAGGAGAAAAGACACTGATGACTTTGTGTGGTCCATAACACAGACATCTAATGTTATCCCAAGCTGCAAAACATCTCTTTAGAGAGGGGGAAAGAAAATCACTGAAGTGGGACAGCTGGAAAAGAGAAAGTATCTTATCCAATCTTAGGAGATGATACTCTTACTAGTGAAGACAGAAAAAGAATATTCATGAGCTGCTCAGGTCTGAAGGGTTGAGAAGAACTAAAAAGGCCATACATGTTTTTTATTGAGTATGCTTTTATAATCATGAGAATAGCAGAGGCATGTAGTGACCTAAAGATAGTATAAATTTAGTAAGTGTTGAATTCTTGCAGTGCATACTGTGTGAATGAGTGCAGCAGCAGATCTTGTAAGAAGAGTAGCACTTATGAACAACACTTATATATCAGCTGTTACATTCAGCTTTCCTTTCTAACAGACTTCACATTTTTCTTTGTACACAGTGGCTTTGAAAAACCTTTCCTTCAGCAGAACATGGCTGAGCAGCCTCACATAGCTGAATACACATGTATTCTCTCCTACTTCTCTCATCAGCATTGATGCTGTTGGGGATAAACTGATCTCTAAAACCCTCATTCGAACTGAGGGATAGGTTGCAGTGGGAGAAGGTAGTGTGGGAGATATCTTGTGGCTATACTGAAGGAAGAGGAATCTTAAGAAAACTTCATCCTTCTGTCTCCTTCCTTGTTAAGGATGGCTTCCATAGGAATGGCTACTCTTCTTTTGCTTCCTTTGGGAGTGGTGAGCATACAGGAATGACTGTTCCACCTTGAAGGTGGAGGTTTGGATGAAAAAGGATGGAGATGTGTGTAAGGGGGAGTATGTAACTGTGTTTGTGGGACACTCCATGTTACATCAGAAAAGAATGGGAACTGATCTGAAAATTTAGGGATGGGCTGTTTAAGGTAAGATTACATTTTTTTGTAGCATTTGCCTGACAGTGTCCATGGCACTGTGCTTCATCTTACCGATAGTACCTGTGGCAGATGTTTCTTGTAGATATCTGATGAAACAATCACTTTGATGTTACTTGCCCGAAGTACTGATTACGGTGCAAAATGGTTGATCTAGCAACAGGATCACAACTTACACATTTTTATGTATTGTCATGTATGAATTATGTCCTATGAATCTTGGAAGGTGTTTGATGTTAGCTCTTCTAACAGGGATTTGTAGTAAACTGTTTATTTTGTAACATGGTTGTCTTTGTTCTGCACAGGTGCTTGAGTTGGTGCTGGAAAACTTTATTTATCCATGGTACAGGTACGAGCTTTACCTAAAAGTTACTATTTTTAATACCACAAATATTTGTCAACCTGTTACAGAAGTTGACACCTGAAAATAAACATTTCTGTTTCCTTAATGAAAGATAAAGCATACTTTTGAGTGCTAGGAATCATTGTTTTATTGTCTCTTAGCAGAGTAGAACAGATATTTTAATAGTTTAGTTATAATACAGGTGGTTCTGAAATTCTGATTTCATCCTAAAAACACTTTTTGATTGTCTGTTTTTTTATGTTAATTTTGTGATAGCTCTTACTTGGAACTAAATATAGATTGATGAAAATCTGTGTGAAAATTCAACCCGTCAATTCCTCTGAAATTTACTTCCAGATTAGAAGCATGGTGATTTATCACATTGCTTAAAAAAAAAAAAAAAAAAGAAAAAAAAAAAGAAAAACTTTGCATGGTTTTAAAGAAAAGCTATTTTGAATACCTATGGCCAACTTCTTAGAGATCATCTCATAAATTTCCAACTTTTAAGACTGTTGGTGATTGTGTTGTGCTGAATAGAATAGTACTTTGTAAATAACTATTAAATAGTGAATAAAGAAAAGAATATGGCTGATTATTTTTTCTGTGTTGTTGTTTTTGGGTTTTTTTTTTGTTTTCTTCCTTGTACTTTTATATATTAGTTAATGGTTTGCAGTACTTTGTAAGAAGACATTTAAATATTTCTAACTAATAATGCTGACATTAATGTATTAAAACAACATCTTGCCTTAATTCTGAATTTGACTTTTTCATTGAATGGAAAGTTCAATTTGTCCTAAAAAAAGTATGCTTTCTTTTATTTTTACTCTGTGTCGTTTGGATTTTTTGCTGTCTCTGGGACCCAAAATTTACTGTTCAGACTTCTTTGCTTCTTGGGTTTTGATTGTGGCCAATACCTGCACGTCTCACCTCTAACTTTGTGCGTTGAATATGCTGAAGTGTAAAACTTCACTGCTGATGCAAACAGCAGAGGGAGCTTTAGTACCATGTGTTGTCAATGCAAGTTGGAAAACTCGAGGTTTAAACTTTCAAATACAGAAAACTGGAGCATGTTCTGTTGGGCTGTTGATAAAGTAACAAATGTAAGGTAACCATCTCCTATATTGCATGATTGGAAGAGTTTTTTCTTGGCTGGTAGAAAGTCTCTTTAATGTCTTTGTTATGGACTGACAAGAATACTTGGCTTCCACCAGTTACTTACCTCTCTGGCACCCAAGGCAGTGGAAGTCTGGAGTACATCATCTGGTGGGGATAATAATTCACTATATATATAACGTACAGTTAGAAGTGCAGTGTAAAGTACACTTTGTATGAAGCCAACCAGCCTGCATTCTGCTCCATCTTGCCCTCTGCTGAGTGTGTAGGTGTTCCTGCCCTGTCTTAAGTTCTGCATGGCTGCACCTCTGGATTTTGAACTAGTTCCGTAAATTCACACCATGCTGATGAAATCTTAACAATCTGAAGGTTGTTAGATTTCAGATTTAAGTGAACCTGAAATACTGGGAGGTCAGTGGTCTACAGTGAGTGCTGTGATGTCCAAGCAATTCTACAGGAAACAGCTTGGTCCTGAAAGGCTTACTGGTTTCAGTTTAACAGTAGTAATGTCAGATCTGACCCTATTTAGTTCAGACATTCAGGTGTTTCCAGCAGGGGTTGTGCAGGGAGACCTGATCTGTGTCTGTGTGCCATAGTTAGAGAGCTGGCTTGTAGAGCATGTCAGCTCTGACTTTTCCTAACTGCACTGTTGGCAAAACTCACATCACCTGAGAGAGGGGATTCATGCATCCAGGACATGTTTGTTTTCTGAGCCAATAAACCTAGCTCAGGTTAATTCTTCCCAGAGCCTTTGCATCCACGCTCTCCTTATTTAGCAGCGTTGCTGGGTGAGCACTAGCAGGCAATTTGTACTTGACAGATAGGCTGCTGCAACAGTTGGCTGTGCTCCTTTGCACAGAAAAGTTTGGGCATAATTCCTTATGCTAGCTGCTCTGCCTTTCATGTGAATGGATTTTGTGCAGAAGCTACCTCTTTTTATTATTATTATTTATTTTTTAAAAAACTTGTTTTTTGTTTTATGTGCTGTGCCAACTGATGCTGTCCTGGACATTAGTGTTACCAGGATGTATCTCAGTCAGAAGCCAGGGAAGTGTTGTGTTTGCAGGGTATGTTGCAAGATAAAATCATGGATTTTGTGCTTAGGAATAAAAGTGCTATAAGCAGATAAAAGCTGGTTTATGTTTGTTTCATTAATAAACTGTGTAAGAATTTCTAATTTTTCATTAGCAGGTTAAAATTTAAGCAGGTCCTAAATTTGGACCACTTCAGGAGAATGAGTGTTAGTGCTTAAAATCCAGTGAACTCTACTGAAATAGCTCATTATACCTATGTGCATTTTTGTTTTTTATTTTTCAAAGTATTATGCTCGTTATATTAAGATTCTTTTTTTCAACTGTATGAGAAGAATATAACATAGTTGTAAGTCATCCCAAGTTTGTAGAGCTACAAAACACGAGTCTAAGTCTATTTTGCTGTACAGCAAAACTATAATATCTTGCTTATAATGACCTTATTTTAAATAGAGTTTAAATTTTGAATTACTAAATATTTTTAGTCACTGATGGTACTGCAACTCCAGTTCTCTCAGATTAGGACAGAATTCAGTTATTGCCACATTTTTTGTGATGCATTACTATGAAAACATTTTTCTTTGATGGTGACTAAACACTGTTTTCACATGTGGAGCTGCTTCTATTTCAAATGAAAGTTCTTTTTAAATGCAAGTAATGCAAGAGAAATTCAGAATTTTTGTTGAGTTACGAACCATAGCTTTGCATTTTTATTAGCTTGTGACTTATTTTCTACATCTTTTTGAAAGGAGTTAGCCAAGTTTTGTAATAATAATTGACACACAGAGGAAAAATATCGCTTTGTTATTAGTGTATGATTTTCATTTATCAGTGGATCCCGTAAGGCTTTGCGTGCGATAGCAGTTGGGTGTATCTCTCTTGAGACATTAGACTCTGTAACTGTTTACAGTTAATACTCCTAAAGTTCTGGGAAAACACAGCCAGCTTTTAAAATGTTTCCAAGAGGGTTATTTGGACTTTCCCCTGAGTCACTGGAGATTTGACATTTTACAGGTTCATGATGTTTTTTTTGCCAGTCTTCAGTCTGCTGGTGATTAAAAGAATGTCTTTGCAAATCTGTTGTGAGAATATGTGGCATAAAGTCGTGTCCAAGTTGAGCTAGGTTATCCAACTGTCAATAAAATAACAACTTCTTGGTCCAAATTACTTCATGTATCTTCTTGTCTGTCAAATGCTAGTAATACCATAATGGAGTTTGTTTGCTAACCTCTTGGCAATGCTAATCCCTTTGACAATGTGGGTATTACCTAACCATATTCCTTAGAAAATGTCAGCTGCTGATGTTAAACCAAACCTTCCCCTACAGTGTTCTTATCTGCTTGTGATTAGCTGTTGGAAGATGGTTGTGTTTCTTGTGCCAGGCTGCTCTTTGAGGTGTTTTCTTTTCTCATGCAATTAGTTACATACTTTGACTCTCAGGTCACTGGTTTCTCTAGTATGTGTACCTGATTGCTCATCATCAACATGCCTTTGAATGTTCTATAACCCAGGCTAAAAGTGCTTTAAAAGTTGGATGCTGAATAATGTAAAATGTTTTATGCTTAATTTTAAAAATTATTTTTAAATGTCTTGTTCTTGCTCATATTGTTCTTTTATAACACAAGTAATATTTCTACTTACTACAATAATTTATCACCAAAAAGTGTGATGGTTCTTGCATATGATCATTAATTAAAACTGAATGCAACTTCCTTTGTTTTGTCATTATTCAGCTGTTATACTTCAGTTTTACCAATACATTAGTCATGCTCCAAAGTTCATATTAATAACTGATAGATTTTTGGTTTTTGCTTGTATTTTGTGGAATGCTGGCATCATGATCTTTTTCCTCTCAGTTTAGATGCAGTTTCTTAATCTAAAACTTAGTGTATTTCCTATTTTTCTTCAGTTTTCCAAAAAAGTCATGGAGTTAGGTATTTTTCTTCCTGAATCACATTTAATTATTTTTACCGTGAGTTTTCACTGAACATATTTTACTGCAGTAGATGGAAACTGGCAAGCCAGGTTAAAAGTTTGGTTGATATTTTTATGCAGTGATTTGGAAATCTATTTAAATTCTTCCTTGCTTCCAAGCAGAAGCCACTTTAAATAATTTCAATTTCCTTTATACCATTGAGTTAGCATGTGTTTCTATATGTAGAAACTAGGTTAGATTTTACTCAGTCAAAATCATGCAGCTAATATATGAGAGCAGGAATCGGTATATCATTGCAATTTCCTGATGTTTTTCTTAAGCTGTTGTGTGCACAGACATTGTGGGAATGCTGTGTATTTTCCTCAGACAGAAGACTGCTGACTCTCTGGTAACTTTCATTTCAGTTCATTCCAGCTGAAGTATCACTGTTGAATGTTCTTATTCTTATGCTTGTAATGATTGTATTGTGGTTGGATTAATAGAAATTTATTTTATTCTGTTTTCTCATATGCCGTGCTTTGAAACACTGCAGAAATATCACTGATGATGAGTCCTCAGTGGATGAACTGAGAGGGACACTACGCTTTTTTGCATCTGTCTTAGTTCGGAGAATTCACAAGGTAAGGTGACTTAAAGGTATTAGTCTTGGTTTTCCATCAGAATTAATTGATATCCATCTCTTGTGAGTTTTTAATTTAGTTTTTTTAAATTGTGATCCCAAAGTCAGCTTTACCGTGTAGGTTGTTTCTAACCATCTAAGTTACTTCTTTGTGGTATCTAACCCATCTTTCTGGAGCTACCCCTAGTTCTGGAGCTTATCCCCTTCATAAACCATCTCTGAAGGTTCATCACTGGAAGTGTTCAGCATCGTGTTGGTTATGGCTTTGAGCAACTGTTCCAGTGAAAGATGTCCCTGCCGTGGCAGGGGATTGGAATAAGTGATCTGTGAAGGTCTCTTGTGACTCAAATCTTTCCCCAGTTCTGGCAAATGGATATATTTATTACACCAGTGCAAGGCATTATTAAATCCTTGTGATCTTTTAGCTGTCTTTTGGTGACTTAATCCAAGTGGAAACCATTTTGAGAATTACTGAAAAAGACTTACTAGGAAATGGTGAGCTGTGTTATAGCTTCTGCTTGCTTGTCTTCTTAAAATGCAAACAAGGCCCTTACATTGTCTATAGACTGTCATTAGGTGACCAGGTTACTGTAAGCATTAAAGCAGATATGGTTCTTACATTAATGCAGTTCTTCAGGAGCATTTTGAGTGCTAAAGATTAGAAGTTTCTATTTGCTGTGTTTAATCTATTAGCACATAATTTTTATTTTGTGTGTTTAATCTACTAGCATATACTTTTTTGTTTGTGCTCTCTTTTTAACAGCACAACTATTTCCTGGTAAAGTGCTTCAAGTCTGTTTCACAGGAATTGCTTCTAACTATTTGGCTGATCTGAGCAGAAAGGGTTGCTAATTCAATTTCCAGAATTAGTCAGTGCTGGCCTCTCTGTTGGAGCCACTGCCATAAATATGTGTCTTTTTCCTCCCTCCTTACTAAGAGAAATATTTTCTGAGCTACAAGTTGTACATGTACCCTGTCATGACTTATTAACAGCATGATTCTCTCCTTCCTACATATCAAATCCAGATGACTTTCTTGTTTACTCTAAGTCAGGCATGTTGCTTTTTAAAATGAACATGGGGGAAGATTAGGAAATCCATGTAGCACAGACATTGTATGGAGATGTGAAAGTGGAGTAAAACTTCAAAGTGAAAATCTAGACCAAGGTCTTAAAATTTAATTTGGAGTGGTAATACTTGCTGGTGTTAGTTGCATTGTTCATGGATCCATTGCTGACTCAGAAAGTGACCATGTCTCCTGTATTGATCGTGTAATAAGGCATTGATTGGGATATCTCCAGTGAGTTACAGCATCTTGAAGTAGAGTGTTAATTTACCATCTCTGCCTTTGACAGTGAGGATTTAAATGTAGTATCTTCAGTTCTATGGGTAGGCAGTATGTGCCACAAACACTCAAGACATGTGCACTGTCAGGGGACCTACAAAATAAAGTTCATCACAGAAATGCATATGTTGAGGAGAAATTCATCATCATCAGATGAAAAATAAAATAGCTGTATAGCTTTGCCAAGCAGCTGTACTCTGTTTTGGTTTTATTATTAAATGCTTGAAATCAATAGTTGTAGCTAATAGAGATGAAATGTTTAAATTGAGGAAGAACTGTGTAAGAAAACTCAGGCTATTTTTTCATTTTTTTAGATGATATCTTTATAATTTTATTGCCAAGGAATATTCTATTTTTGAATTGAGACTTAAAATTACAAATTGCTTTAATTAAAAGAATGCTTTTGTTTTCTGTTTAAAGCTGTCTAGGTCAAAGCATGGTTGTTGAATGAAGTTAGAAACACTACAGGCCAGTCAACTCTTAAATGTATGCTGAAATACATCAAATCTGGATTTTCATTGCTGTGGCCATTTCTGGATTCGTTATGGATTTTGAAGGGAAAGGGAAGGGTTATACCACGCCTTTGTATGGTGTGGTATAGATAACCCTGCATCTGATTGAAGTTTTTGACAAAAGTTCCCAGCGTCTGCTGCAATGTTGATAACAATTTCCTTGGCTGTGCTCTTTGAGTTAGCTCTGCAGGAAAAAACACTGCCCTGTTTTGGCATATAAGTTTCCTTATATGCCATAGGAAACTCTTAATTTCTAGTAATTGCTGTTGGAATGTGAGGCACAAAAGACATGGTTTTCCATTGATAAGCACAAGCTTGTCCTTTTTTGCTTGTAAGCAGGAGCTGACCTTACTTTTAGGCAGCTCCAGTCAATTGTGTTGGCTTGTCGGGGCTGGCCAGGTCAGGTCATAGCTGTGCACATCAAATATTATAGGGGAGTGTGCAGAAATATGTAATACTCTCCTTGTACAATTGAATAAAAAACACCAACTTTTCTCTCAGCTCTGGTGGCCTTTGCAATTGCATTGTCTCTTTACTTATCTGGCAAGATGCTGTATTGAGCAGGGATTCTTCCATTAGGAAGGAAACTTGTTTGGAATTCTTAGATTTTGAACATTTATAGGTGTATGTTTTTGCACATCTGAGGTGTCTCTCATTTAAAATAAAGAGTATACAAAGTGTAAATCATCTTCTAGATGAGTTTCTGTGAAAACTGCTGCAGGTGGTAAAGAATTCCTTGAAACTGTACAGGCTGGGAACTGACTGGCTTCAGGGAGAAGCTCTGCTTGCTGCAAAGGCTGTGCGCTGAATATGAGCCATCAGTGGCAGCTTAAAACACCACCACCATCCTGGGCTGTAGTGACGGGAGCAGAGAAAATCAAAGTGATTATCTGCCTTCACTGGATGCTCTTTGGATGGCATCTAGGATACTAATCCAGTTTTGGGCTCTTCTTTACAAGAAAGTGGAGCAGGTTCAACCAAAGGGCCACCAAGATGATTTGGGCTGGAGGAGGTGGCTCTGTTCAACTCAGGAAGTTTTCAGCAGCAGTTTGGATACAGCCCTGAGCACCGTGATCAGAGCCTGTCTGGAGCAGGTCTAAGACAAGCCAAAGTCATTTGTGCCTGAGTTGTTCTCCTTCCACTTTTGTAGCCACCAGAGAAAAAAGAAATGCAGGATGCAAATACAATCTTTGATTAAATCATACATGTTTTTTGTTTGGCTTATGATCACATGGTTTTGGTTTTGGCACTAATGGTCTTTTGACTCTGTAATTCAAATTCTGTTTTGGATCTCCCATCACATGAGGGGTGACATTTTTTCTGCCTGTGCGTAGGAAGGTTTCTCTTTGGTTTTAGTCCTTGTGGACACAACTGCAGAATGTTAAGGCTGGTGTTAGAAGCAAAGCGTAGCTAACTTGATCCTTTCACTGGTGGTCAAATAGTCCCATAGAAATGGGCTTCATGTACTATGACTCAAAAGTCACACTGTCTTGCTGTATTTATTGCAATGAAAAAAATCATAATGGGAATGAGTTGGCAATAAATGCCTTAACCGTGTTGTTTATGGCATTTAGTTCTACATGTTTTTATATACCTTGGCAGAAGAATGAGGACACTGTCAGCTCACCTAGAGAATTTTGGATTATTTCTTAACGGTTCATTTTATGGTTCAAACCAGAATATATAAACAAATTACTATGTTTGATGGTTGTCTGTAATAAATTTTGGAGGGGAAAAAAATAGAACAATTTTGGTTTTATTTTGAAATTATTCTTTAGGTGGACATTCCAACGGTTGTAACAAAGAAGATGCTCAAGGCAGCAATGAAACACATTGAAGTAATAGCCAAGGCCAGGCAAAAAGGTAATGTCAAGACCTAATATGTTGTCCGTTTCAAAGGCCAAGTATGAATCTTCTTTTATGCATGTTTGAGATTATTTTGCTTTGTCTTTTTATCCTTATGGCCTCTCTTTTTAAAAAATGAGGTCCTTTTGCATTTTTCTTCTGGTGGTTGAGAAGGAAAATAGGGAGAAAGTTACAGTATGTATTTGTATTCTGTGTTTTGATTTTTATTGCCACCCAATAAAAACACTAAGTCTGTACAGGGGTGAACAGGAATAGGGGTTTTGTCTATTTAGAGCAATCATGATAATTTAGGAATGCTTCTTGCATTTTTTCCTTTATATTCCAGATGAGCAGTTGTAGATTAAAGGATTCATACATCTGTACACTGTACCTCATAGCTCTTATAGATAGAATGATTTCAAATCTGCATTAGTGAAGTTGTAATATGTTGAAAAGCCATGGAGAGACTTTGAGCAGAAGCATATTTGTTATCCAAGATAAGAGTATCTTCACAAGCCTCATGTAAAAATTATATTTAAACTGCACATAGAAGAAATATTTGGAAACACTTGCTGTTGTTATTATTTTTTTCACTGGCTGTGTTCCACAGTGCTGTATCTACTAAATGTGGTTTCATTCAACTTTTAAGTGTAGATGTTTACTTTAACTGGAGTCGTGAACTTTTCTTCTTTCCCTCCAAACGTCTGTTTGATATCCATAAATACATGTCATTGGTCCTGTGAGTAGTGTTAATGATTAAGATGAGTAATGAGACATAGTGTAATCACCTTGGATGTCTTTCATGGCACAACAGCAATTTCAAGATAGTAGATAATCTTGCAGTGCTGTTTATGCCAAATTTCGTGATTCCTTTGATTTCTACCAAGGAGTTGGAAACACTTTTCCTTAGCGGTAAAGAACTGTACTTGGAAAATTTGAAAAAGCTTTGAAAATATAGCCATTTTTTTCTCAGTGTTTTAAAGGAAAAGACTTGTTTCCTAAGGGCAGATACATGAAGTAGCAGCTGGAAATGACTTTTAGCAGCACTTTCTAGTAAACATTGCTAAAGCAGCCACCACAATACATAGTTCAGAGGCAGCTTCCAGACCCTGCTTTGGTTGCTAGTTGAGCCTAGCCTTTTCTCCTTATTTTCTAAATCCTTTTCAAGTGGATTGCTTTTAGGGGGCATTTCCTTTTCTGCTACTCTTGTTACCCTTACCTCTCTTAGTAATTCCTATTTGCACAGGCACCTCCGTAATTCATTACCTGTCCTCACTAGAGGCTGCATTCCTTCTCTCTGCTTTTAGTGACACCAGCTAGGCAGATTTACCAGGTGATATATACTCCTGCATCCCCTCTGTCAGCTGATATCACTCATGGGTTTTGGCTGTGAAGACCAAGCCAGCAGGCTTCTCTCATATGCTGGGTATAAGCTTTAACTTTGTGGGTAGCTGAGGAATATATTACATATCTCACTGTGCCTGGTGGTGGTGTTGACATGAGGCTGTGCCACATTGCTAGTTCAGCTAGGTGTGATTTATAGCAGCTCACTTCTTGCCTTTGAAGTGATCTGAAGAAATGTAACATTGTTGCTTCTAATTAATGTCTGTAGTTTTTAATCTGATAAAGAGGTATTGTTTCAATTCCACCATAATTTAAGAGGCAGTACTCTAGCAGATCCTCCTGCAGGTTTTGGCTTGATTCACCCTGTGTTTAAAATGTATGTTCCTTCACATTTGTTTTTAAGTTTTCTAAGCAGGAAACAGATACTACAAGATTGAGTAAAAGTTTATGTTGATTTCAAATTGTGTCGTAGGCCAAAAAAATGGAGATCATGAAGAAGGTCAGGAAGAAGGCAATTAGAGGCAGGCTTTGCACGATGCAGTTTTTTTGAGAATCCAGATGCTGAGTTTTTATATTTAGTTGATATATATAAAAAATTGAATATATAAATAAAAGTTAATCTTATTTTATATATATTTATATATAATGATAAATGAGAAAGCATTCGGGATACCATGTAAACTGCAGTTGTTTGGTGAAGGAATTCTTATTTCAGTGTGAGGTTTTATTTTTACTTAGCATGGCTTCAAAGTCTAAGCCAAGGTTCTTTTGTAAAGTTTCAACATTTAATCCCTTTGGCAGTTATATGTGTACTAAAAATACTAACTTTTTAGCTCAAACAAAAACCAATTGCCTTTTGTTTGCCAGTAAGAAAAAGCTGAAGCAACTCTGTAATGCTGTTTTTACTTTCAGTAAAAAATGCAGAATTTTTGCAGCAAGCTGCTTTAGAAGAATATGGACCAGAACTGCATGTTGCTTTGAGAAGCCGAAGAGATGAACTTCACTACTTAAGAAAACTTACTGAACTTCTTTTTCCTTATATTTTGCCCCCAAAGTCAACAGAGTGCAGGTATATAAATTAATTAGAATTGTGTTTTTTAAAGTTTCCATACTATGAAGTACAATTATTTTGGAAAGTGAAGGATTGAACTTCACTGTCATCTTCCTTCTTACCCCTTTTTTATGATTTTTTTGGATTTGTCTTTAAAATGGCATGCTTATGGTATTCTTAAATCCTAAAATATTCCCCAGTATATGACAGAATTGGATACTTCACCTAGAAATTTATGTAATTTAATATTTCTTTGCATTTTTATTTTCTCTCTTCTATTTTCTTTTCAGATCCCTGGCCCTTCTCATTAGAGAGATTCTCCCTGGTTCAGTTTTCCTTCCCTCAATGGATTTCTTAGCTGACCCTGTAAGACTTTGGAGCACAAGAATAATCTTAATTTCCTCAAAATTACTGTTTACCTACTGAGCATGTTGTGGTAAAGCAAATGATGTGTAATGACTTACTTGCTGTGCATTTTGACTAGATAAAAGAAATAGAACATAAAAGAAAAAGAAGTCTTGTGGCCAATTGTTTTGTTCATATGAATTAACTCACTGAACTGACTGAAATAACAATACTGGTACAATCCCTTAAGAATGTGTTTTTCAGGATTACAGCTCCTGTCAAATGGGAGGATGCTGTGCTAGTGTAAACATCTACAAGTTGCTATTGTTACATTTAAAAAGGGCTTGATTACTTGAACTCCAGCTCTATGGATCTTCATAGCAGTCTAAGTAACCAGCTTTTTCTGCGGCTGTATCAAAATGAATTTTTTCCCTCAATTCTGCAAATCAAGGAACATTTATTTATAAAGCTGCAACACTGCCATCCTCATTTTCAAATATGCATGTGTTTTTTAGGCAGAATGGCAGTGCTTATGCAGGCATCACCTGGCTGCAAACAGAAAGTACTGTAGTGTGGAAGTGTTACTAGTTCATTAGATCTGCACTTAGGCCTCCTCCCAAGTTTTTTTACTTTTTCTTCCATGTGTAAAGAATATTTCTGTGAAGGTCTCTTTAGAAAGTCCCTGACTTGTAAAAACTTGAGACCATTGAAGTTCAGTTCTCAAATGTGTATTATCAGGCTTTGCTTTTTTAAAAGTTTTAATATACTCATGTTTAAATTTGGGTATAACATAGTATTGAAATTATTTTAATCTATTTTGTTGATTTTCTTTAATAAATCAACAAAATATATTAAATCAATTTTCTTTAATAATATTTCTTTAATAATATAATAATTTATTTGTTGTTTTGTGTTTCTTGCAGGATACTGTCAACCATTTACTACTGATCTTCATTGATGATAGTCCAGTGAGTACTGGCAAAGTTAAAACAGTGGTATTTTGATCACCCATGAAAGAAGCTTTCTTACCCAGTTGTCATTTTTTTCTGCAGCCTGAGATAGCAACTGAGCCTACTTCTTCATTGGTTCCATTCCTTCAGAAATTTGCCGAGCCAAGAAATAAAAAGCCATCTGTAAGCAAAGGCAACATTTACTTCCTTTCCTGTTTTGAATAAGTATTTTACTTTACCTGCTGATTTTGTTCTACAGCTCTTTGCGTTATTTATGTACTGACTGAAAGTTTGAAAGTTGGCTGACTGCATTTTTAACCTACTCAGGTACTGAAACTGGAGCTAAAGGAGATCAGAGATCAACAGGACCTTTTATTTAGGTTTATGAACTTCCTGAAACAGGAAGGGGCTGTCCATGTGTTGCAGTTCTGCTTGGCTGTGGGTAAGATTACAGACGTGTGCTGATGTTACTTGATGGTATGGAAATCATTCTAATGGAACCCTGCAATTTGCATTTGGGTAATTTAGGAAGAAAAAATCATTCATATGCTTAGAACAACCTCATGAATTTATCCTTTCTGTGATAAGGAATAATTTCTTCTAATTGCAATATATTTTTAGTAATAACTTTATGAACAGATTTGAATTATAGTTAATAAGAAGGCAGCTGCCTTATTACCTTGGATTTTGACATGTCTTATGTTTCTTTTAATTTTGAAGTTTTGCAAACTACCTACTGCAAAATGAGTTGATGCTGTAGGGTTCTTCAAAATGTTGTTTGCCAAGTTGATCAAGAATTGCTTTTTTCTTTCCTTTATTTCTCAGAGGAATTCAATGACCGAATTTTGAGACCAGAACTATCAGATACTGAAAAAATGTCTCTTCATGACGAAGTACAGAAAATTTATAAAACCTACTGTTTGGATGAAAGCATTGACAAGATTAGATTTGACCCTTTCATTGTGGAAGAGATTCAAAGAAGTAAGTTGGAATTCGAAAGGAATAATGTACATTGGAATTTAAACAACATTTTCTAATAAAGTGAAAAGAAATTTTGCTGAATACCATCAGACATTTTTTTGCCAGTTTTAAAAATTATTTCCATGTTATATTTTGCTTAATCCTTTTTTTGTCAATTTATTTCTATTTTTTATTTATAAAACTTAGAGTAGCTTGCAAAATAGTCACAAACTCTGACCAGGAGAAAACATGAACTATGAGCTATTTATATGCCTGTATGTATATCTCTCTGTATTAATACTTAAATTTTTTTTGAATAGTTGCTGAAGGTCCATATAAGGATGTTGTGAAACTCCAAACTATGCGGTGTCTTTTTGAAGCTTATGAGCACGTCCTTTCTCTGCTCGAGAATGTTTTTACTCCCATGTTCTGTCACAGTGATGAGGTAAGCATGAAAGATTGGAAGAGTAGTCTTAAAAGTGAGATGGTATTTTTTTAGGATACTCTATTTACAATAGTCACATGTATGTGGAACTGAAAAATATGGCTTCATTTTCCAACTCAGTTGACATTCTAGAGCTGGACCATTCTCACTAGGAAAATAAAATTTATTCTAGTCCAACACATCATCACAGAATAAAAGGAAAACTTCATGTTTTTGATGTAACAATTTGTGTATATCACAGCTATTACAAAATCCTCTCCACCCCATCTTTATGATTGCAAATTTGATGCAAAAGTCATCTGCCTGATAGATGTAGAACTCAGTCTCCTTATTTACTTTTAAGAATATAATGGTATTTAAAGATACAAAAGTTGTATTTAGGTTTTTTCAGCATTATGCATTCCTGCAGCTAAAAGTCTGGTGTTTGTTTTCAAGAAGATCTCTCAATGCAATTTAAAAAGTATTTAAGATTGTTGAGTGGTTGGGTTGTAAATGCCAACCTTAAGAATTCCCCACACTGAGTTGACTTTATCTGCCTAAGGCCTTCTAGTAGGGCACACTTTAATCACAGGGGTGAGTCTGAATTCATGTTCCTTTCAGAAGTTATGTGTGTAAGTCAGGTTGTGTGTTAAGCTTCTTGCATTCATTTGAGACAGGATATATTGATTTGTCCTAGTAGTGGGTACTTGCCTTATTTGGCATTATTAAAAAGAACATTTCTCAAAAATGGTTTTGATGGTCATCTCTCACATGATAGCTATAATGCTTCAAATGCTTGATTTCTTAACAAGGAGGAGACGTGGATTTTGGTGCTTAATTTAATTTTTATTTCTGCTTTGTGGTTTTAATCTCATGATTATGTAAGGTTAAGTAAGTAGTCCTAGTCTAATGCATTGATTATTGTATGGTCTGTCCTTTTCCACATTAAAATTCTAACTGCTAGATTATGGTCAGTTTGGCTTTTCCTTCAGTTCTCATTTCCTAAATTTTGCAATGTTGTTGCACAGTAGCCTTTACCTCAGTTAATCCAGTGTTTCCTTTGATACCTTATTTTGTCTGCTACAGTACTTCAGACACCTTTTAAGAGGAGCAGAGTCACCAACCCGCAACTCGAAGTTTAACAGGTAGGCATGATAGAACTTTTAAGTGGTTTTCTTTGGTTTTTAATTAAAAACATCAAAATATTAAAGTGTAAGAATATAGCTATTGCCTGATATTAATTTCACTAGATTTTTAGCTCTACTTTTTTGTTTTTAAATGGACAAATTACATACTAAAGTAGTGTTATACAAGACATCTCTTCTCTTGAAGTATTTTACATTCAAGAATTCAGAATGTGATTTAGACCTCAACATTTGAGAAGAGGGAAGGAAAAAAAAATAGCCAGTGAGAATAAGATTATGTGAAAATAAAGTGGTGATGTAATTGATTGTGTATATGTAATACTATTTTAGTGGTGCCAAGCTGTGTCTTCTTGGATTTCAGATGTTACAGGCACAGTGTGCCCTATGCCAAACCAACCTGGTTATTTGATGGGAATCTCCTCTTACTGTGACAAGGAGGGTTTGCCACTTCTCCTAGATGAAATGTGTTTTCTGTTCCTCAACTCCATTGCAGAAATGCAGCATCAGAAGCCTTGTTTCTGGGCTTGGGCCAGAACTTATAGTCCAGACCTCCTTCAGGCTCCTTACAGCCTGTGGAGGAGAAGAGCCTCTCTTGTGGTGGGGAAGGGTGATCTTCCAGTGTGGGCTTGAGCTGGGTTGATAAACCTTGAGGTCTCAGAATTTCTTATGTTTCACTTTATGTTGGATGGCTCTGGCAGGTGTGGAGTAGCCCAACTGAATTTCTTTTATGGCGTGGCCAAAAGAACGGAAACATCAGTGAGACAGTCTTTAATATGGATAGGCTTTCTTTCTTGATATGAAGTAAGTTCCATGGTACTGTGGAAAATGCTAATGCTTGTCCTCCTCTAGAGGAGTAACACTGATTAATTTAACCTTTTCTGCTTTCATTAGAGTTACACCTGACAGTAAACTCCTGTTTCACAGCCTACTGTGACATTTGTATTACTGGCACCTACCTTTCTTCCCTGCTCCTGTTCTTCAAAAATGGGATGATTGTTCTCTATTATGTCTCCATGGGTGACATCTTTTATGTAGTCTTTGTAGTTTTTGTAGGTCCAGGACTGGAGCTTTGGTGTAGTGCTGTCTCATAGTGGTGCTGGCAAGCTTCTAGAAGTGTCTTAACAAAGAGGCATGGGATGAAGGCAGCTAGCCCAAACTGGATTCCTTTCCTGCATATTACTCCATGTAGGATGACCTTAAAGACACTTCAGCTTCTGTTGAAGATGGCTCTGGGGTTTCACCTAGACCTTTAAATCTGCCTTCTGGTTTCTTCCCCCGAATTGTTCATGTCAGGGGTTGGAAGTATTCTGTCATACTCATCTTAAATCTAGTTAAAATATGAGAACATGTAGGTCACCTCTTCAGTGCTTTACTTTTAGAAACAGAAAGGGGGAAGTTACAGGCCATTACTGTCTGGAGTTTTTGAAATGCATCTCTGGCTACAAAATAAACAAATTTTGCTTGGCGGCTGTTGCAGCGTATTCTCAAACAGCATCCATAGCTTTTACTGAAAATGCATCTGCTTTACATTTTAGAACAATTTGAATGCTCTCAGTATATATGCTGATTTCCAGTGCAAGATACAGTGTGTTCCAGAATTGGTGCCTCAGTGATTATTTCCATGAAACAGAGATCCTGTCTTGCAAGTAGTTTGCCTGTTGCTTTGGAGTTTCCCTCTGCAGAATTGTGTACAGTCACTTCCAAGAGGGTGGGGAAAAATCAGGGTTTCTCACAAAATTATTCCAGATGTTATTCCATATATTTTGTCCTTCCTTCTCTTTCTTATTCTGGCATTACTTCCAATTGGAAGTAATTACATGCAAAGAGATGCGTTTTGCTTCCCATATTTTTGTTGTGCTTTGCTATGGGTACTGTGTATGTATTGCTTAGGTACTGCTGGCTAAAAAATCAGATCAAGAAGTAGGTATGAAATCCCAGTGGAACGTGCATGAGGGTAATGTGTTGAAATATTTCCCTTATTGCAAGACAAGAAAATCACAATTTCTAGAAAATTTAGGCAGAAAGATAGGAAGAAGTGATATCTGTGTAATTTTTGGTTTGGATCACTTCTTTGAACTGTACAGAATAATCATAGCTTTTTGCAGACAGGACAAATAATGTGCTCTGAAAACTGCAGAGACAATTAGTGAGCAGTGCCAAGGGTTTCTGGAGTGTAAAGAAGTCACATTGAGGATATTCTGACAACTTGATAACTATGGTTATCATAAGTTCTAACTCTGTAACTGATGTTTTTAACCTAATATTTAATGTGTGTGGCCTATGGTAACTGATGCTTCGAGTTCTAGTTCTGTCAACTTAATTTGGGTAGTGTGGAAGAGACAACGAGAATTCTCTCTCCCTCTCTCACGTTTAAGTATTTTTACTACATTACTACATTACTTAAATGTAGTCTGTGTTGGAAGTCTCAACAAAGAAAGAAAAGCTGTTATGTAGTATGAATTCCCAGATTTCTGGATTTCTGTATATTGGTCTCGATTTTCTGCATGCAAGAACCACTAATAGAAATAGACACATCCTGGTCTCTCATATTAAAATAGCAGTGAAATTAAATAATTTTTTTTTAATTAAAGGACCATTTAGAAAAGATACTAACAATTTCAGGGAGTGGTTAGGAGAAAAACCCTTGGATTAAGTCTGTGAGAAGTTCTATGTAATAGTCATCATAATTTCTAATCTGCTAGGTTATGTTTCCACTTTTACAGTTTACACAGCCAAAGGCAGTGTAAGATGTCTTACAATCAGATCCTTCTGTAAAAGAAACTCTCAAATTTTAATGGTTTTGTCTCATGTTAGTTTGTCCAGAATTCAGTAGCTCCAATGAATTAAAATCCTGTGTGTGGTGACAGTGTTTATAGTTAATTCATTTAAACATCTTGATTGGAATTACCAGGTTGATGTCTGAGGCATTGGTTCTATGTACCAGGTTAGGTAGAATGTCAAAAATGTGTTGCAGTTCTTAAAATATGTGAAATACAAATTTAAAAAATTTAATAGTGGGTCTTACTATACCTAATACATATATTATACTGTATTATATATGTATATACTATTCTAATACAGAGGAAGAGAGAGCATGTATTATTACACAAAGTGAGGCCACAGCTTTTTCATTGTATCGGTCAAATTAACTTGATTCCTACATGACTTCTGAATATAGCTAATAGGAAAAGTTAGCTGGCTATTTGGCACTACAGATAATGCTAAGAATGAAAGTTGTGGTTGCTTGTCCTGTAAGTTTCAATAACTGATGGTTCAAATTCAAAGGCTAGGCTTGTGATGATGATATTAGTAGATACTGTTCACTTTCTTGGGATTCTAGGTCAGGAATTCCTAATTGTACTGCCTCTTTTCTTAACCCATGATGATGGTCAAAGCTTGTTCAGTTTTGCTGGGATAGGTCAGGCATGTTTGGTTAGGGTTCTTTTGTTGTTTTGCTTTATTTTGATTTCCTGCTGGGCTCTGAGGTAATTGATTTGCCTGTTGTTGCAGAAGTAGCCTGAGTTTGGATGACTTACGGTAAGTCTATCTAACACTCAGTAAATGTTGTGTGTTAGTTACGCTGCATCTCTCATGACTTCATCATACAGCCTTTATAATTGTAATTAACTGCTCATTCTATTTGTAAAAGACATGAATGTCTTCTCTGGTCTGAGGTGCATTTCTCCTCACAAAAAGCTTTACTCCCCGTGTTCTTTTCACAAGTGTTTAGAAATTGCTTAATTACTAATTTCACATGTTTGCATTACATTAATATTGTTTGCTATACATTAACACTTCACTGTTAACAGTCTGTCTGTCGTCATTTGTTTTGAAATGCATTTCCAGAGCTTGAAACATTTTTTTTTTTTTACTTGTGACTGGTAGCTGTTCCAAAATTTCCTTTACTCCATGTCACATTGTTATCCACTTATGTGCTTGTTTTGTCTTGCAAGCCGTGTCTGGAGTGATCATTGTCTAACATCACTTGCAAATATAACCATTTTATGATTTTTAAGCACTCAAACCCAACAGTTGCCCAAATTAGTTATTTCTGCAGCTTCTCTTGTGACTGTTACAGGTTTGATGACAGCATATGTTATTTTTTTATAATTTGCTGTAGGTAGTATGTGACCGCTCATTAAGGCCTTAGTAGCTGTCCAGTGGTTTGTTTTATCATTATTCATGCCTCTTAAATACATGGTATCCAAACTCAGAAAACAATCTTTTCCTCATGTACTTTTCCTTAGAATTTAACAGAGGATAAGTATGACATAGTTTGCTCATATTAGTCTTGAGGGGAAATTTTTCAACTTAATTTTTCAGGTTAAGAATCAAGGTAATTAGATGCTTTTATTTTGAGCTATAACTTGCTTGATTGTTAAGCAATAAGGAGTTCTTGAGTTATAAATGCAGCTCATTGATTTTCAAGTGCAGCAGTATGTGTTCAGCGTTTCTCCTGACAGTGTGTAGGGAGTTTAGTCAGCCAGAGGAAATGGTACTATGACTTCACATGCATGTTAATATCTGCCTTGTCTGATCTGTACAACTGGTCTGGTCCTTCTTGACCCAGAGAGGCTCACAGCATCATTCTTCAGCTGCACAGCCCTGGCTCATCCCCTGCCAAGGTCTGTTCAGTGCACTGAATGAGGCAAGCATCCTGTGGGAAAATGATTTTGCAACTATCCATGACTGACGAATGCCACAGTGCACAGTGGACTTCTTCAGTCTGCAATTCCTTGTTATAGAGTAAACAATAATGGTAATTTTTTTAATGTTAGGTATGTGTTCCTTTTGGAATGTTTGGAAAAAAAAAAGTGTTCCAAGCTCTTGTTGTCACATTATTCTTCAGGAATGTTGGAGCCTGTAGACTCTGCACAGAGGGCCCTCCTGAGAAAGCAACTATAGAATGATGGTCTAATAATGCTATTATATGGATTAGCACTAGAGGGAGTGGGTTATTTTTCCAAAATTTTTGGATGTATGTGTATTTGTTGACAGGTCTTAAAAAAAAATCTTGTCTCTGCTCTAAACCGTTTACTTTCTGTCATCTTTGGTCCTTCATGTCTTGAACCTGCCCCTATCCTAGTCCCATCTTTCCTTCTGCCTAGTCTCAAGGTCTTCTATTTCTGCTTAACCAGTGAATCTGTTAGATTTTCATCATGATACCTTTTGTATATGTTTTTTAATTGCTCCATTTCTTTGAAATGTCAAGTCATTCTGTTGTCAGTGCATCCATCTTTGCTAACATGCACACATTTCTTTTCCATCCTCATCTAATGTGATTTGTGATAAGGATTTTTGCCAAACCAGTCCTGTGTTCTCTCCATATGTTGTGGAGAGTGTCTGTGTACCCTCTCATTCACTGGTGTTTGTTCCGAATTTGTCACTTCCTGTGAAGAGATTCCCATCCTAGTTTGTGACTTTATACTTGTCCAGTTCAGTGATTGCTTTTTATTCATGTGGTATAAATCTTTGTGCTGTGTGTTGGGGCTGGAAGGGTTGGTTCCTAGCTGCCAGGTTGAGTTCTGGTTGCATACAGCTCACTACAGGCACAGGTGAATGCTGCCTTCACCTGGAGCATGCTCAGTGTGAGGAAGAACTGCTTTGAGACTGGAGTCCTCCTATCAAATCACCGACCTTGTGCAAATCAATGTTTTTGCGCAAACTCTTGAGAACTGCACCAGTTTTCAGAGGAATGATGAAAACTCCCTTCAAGGTTAAGCCAGAGGTCTGAAATAATCAGCCTTCCAGAATAGCTAGTTTTGTCTGATTGAGGTTTGTATTTTCTAGCCCAGTGTTGAAGCACATGAAGATTCAGGTAAGGTCCCCTATGTGAAACAGCTCAGTTCAGCACAGTAACATGTAGGAGAAGTTGTCCAAGAATGGAGTAAAATTGTTAAAATACAGATTTAGACCGCAAGCAGCCAAGCAACCTTGTCATTGCATAGACGAGATAATTAAGATAGATGGTGCCAGTATGCTTTGGAGCTGATGATTAGATGAGATAGAAAAAGCAAAAAATTGGGAAAAACAGTGGGTTATTTACGCAACTTGAGTCATGTACACAGTCTGTGTAAGATTATAAACAGGAAGGTTATTAGCAACATGCACGTGCATGCTTGGAGTCAGCAGCTGGTGTTGTCTGCATGGTTTCATGAATGATGAAAATGCTTTACCTGCTGATTGCTGCAGTTCTCTTTGTAATCCCTTCCAGAAGTCAATAGTTTCTTGTTTTAAAGGAAAAAGAAACGGGATTTTTTTTGTCCTCCAAAGTACTAGTTGTACATCTAATATCAGTCTCTAAATTTCTTTTGAATGTTTGATTGTGAAATTCACTGTATTGTTTTTAAACTTGTCTCTCAACTGTATATATTGAATCACCATAAGGAACCTCAGGCAAATTCTATATTCAGCAGAAACATTTTTCTTTCCAAAATTGCTAGCATTTCTATGCAAGAAGTAATCTTCAGTGTCAGGACTCGTGTAAGGGCATAAGAATAATAAAAAATCCATTCTGTCAGTGAGGAGTGTGCTTGCTGCCCAAGTATTTTTTTTAGTCCCATACCTGGTTTGTTGGCTTTCGGACGCTTTGTCATAAGTGGCGAGACTTTAAAAACTCTTCAACTTTCAGTCAGACTGGCTCTTCAAGCCAGGATTCCTCAGTTGCATCTGTTTTCTCTCATGCTGTGTCTTGCTCTTTGCACGTTCCTTTTATCTGTCTCTACTGCTTAAAAACTGAGATCTGTCTTGAATGATATGTGCTTGTAAAATTCCATTTAAAAAAAGCATCTACACTTGGTAGAAGGATAAATATTTAAATACAAGTACAAGGAAAAGGACGAAGTTAATGACCTACTTGATGTGCATGCCTGTAGCAATAGCACAGTTTCTGCTGTCAAAACAAAGTTGTTTTACCTACCTAATTGTTTATTCTGTGTCATGAATTACTAGGATACTATTGTGAGAGTTTACTTGTGTTTAAGCATATGGAATCCTGTCTGTCTTAAAAAGTGTAATCAAGAAATTTTGCAGATTGATCAGGGAACAGATATACCATAAATGAATTTTAACTAAGTGGAACTGTAAATATGTTGGATCCCTGTTTATAGAGTTGTTTCTCTTATCTGCAAATAGTGTGCAATGGCCTATTGAGCAGCTGTGTAATAATATGCTTTGTGTTGTGTACTGTGGCTTCTGTAATCCTAGGACCACACAGAAGAGAGGAGAATCATTTGGAATCAGCAAAATAGGGAACAAAATAAAAGGTGTATTCAAGAGTTCTGCAATGGAAGGAGCTATGTTGCCTAACTATAACTTAAACGAAGGAGAAGATGATTTTGTGAGTAAAACCATTTAATTTTACGTGAAGTCTTTGTTGGACTTAGATTTATTTTTTTTTCGCCTTTGCTCATTTGAAATTGTTAAATTTCTGCTTTCTTCACTGCACAGTTTTCATGTGCTGGCTTCTGATTAAGTTGCCTTATCTTCCCTGTATTCATTCACAAGCCAAGGTCACATCCCCAGTTTCTGTGCTTCTGAGCATTGTTTTCGTACAGAGAAACACCAAAAGTAGCAGTGTCAGATATTTTTATAAACAATGACTTTTTCTCCAATTCTGGGTAGTAAAGCGTGCACAAGACTGCATGCATGGCTCTTCATCTGCAGCATGCCACAAGACCTTAAAACCATAAATAACATCGCGTAGAAATCACTGTCACGTTGGTCTGTGATGCAGCATTCTCTCTATCAATCAGGAGCCAGTAGTCCTTTCTCATTTGTCTTGGATGTCTCCCTGAGTTAATGTTTTTCTTCCATGCTAAACAGTCATGAATAGAGCCAATGGTAGAATTTACTGCATGGGATGTTGTTACCTGAACCACAGTTGGGGGCCGAATGGAAAATTTGAAAAAGGAAAGAGGAGGGAATTGGTTTGAAGCAGAGGTAGACTGTACCAATTAAAACAGAGCTGGAGATCTCTGTTTGAATCCTTTCAGATTGAAGAAGGTGTTATGGTGATGGAAGATGATTCTCCTGAGGAGGCTGTTACCACCCCAAATACACCCCGCAACCTTGCTGCATGGAAAATCAGCATCCCATACGTTGATTTTTTTGATGATCCCTCCTTGGAAAGAAAAGACAGAAAGGAGAGAATTCCTGTATTCTGCATTGATGTAGAGAGAAATGATAGAAGCGCAGGTACGCAGTGTTGCACATCAATGAAGTGTCATTCTAAAGGGAACTCAAAATATTCTAGTGTGCTGTGTGCAGGTGTGTTTTGTATATGTGTTCTACTGATTTCAAAATAATGGCTTGAAAGTTCTGAGGAAATGAATTTGAGAGATAAATGATCACATTTAGCATTTGCTAGTTGAGAACTGACTCCTCAGCATGAATCAGTTCTATTTAGACTTCATGCCAAAGTTTGAAATGTTCTCTTTCCAAAAATACTTATCTTAAAATTTGTATTAATAAACACCTGTCATATTTTTTTTCCATCCACTTTGAACTTTGGAATAATGAACAACAAATATTTTTTTATATAACCTTAAAATTAGTTCTTAGGAAATGAAAATGTTTTGCTTATTGGAAACCATCCTGGCGTGCAGTTAGTTTACCAGAATCTGGATAGCAATACATCCATAGGGAGTGGGTGGAAACAGCATCATCCTAAGGCTGCTGGGATTTGTCTTAGTGAGACTAATACTTCCACAATAAGCTGAAAGTATTTAAGAGGCATTTAGTGATATCTTTAGTGATAGGATTAAGAATCATCAGCCTTCAAGTTGGTGGTGCAGAGAACTGTATTCAGCAAGTACTGTTTCTGTAAATCATTTGGTTCAATGTTGGAAAGTAGATCTAATGTAGTCAGCCATCATAAATGTTGAGATTATGCAGGACTCCATTGTTTAGATTGTAGTGATCCCATAGATGATAATTTCCTTGCTAGTACCGTGTCTGTCTACCAGTTATGCATTTTACTGTAACATTGAAAGTACCTTGAGGTTTTTGTTACTACAACAGGGGGCTAATGTCATTGAGGTTTTTTTTGTGATAATCAGCATATGTTTGCTGTTGTTAATTTGTCTCCCAGGTGACATAAAACCTGGTTTATTTTTAACTTTTTTTCTCCAGTTGGACATGAACCTGAGCACTGGTCTGTCTACAGGAGGTATCTTGAATTCTACGTGCTTGAATCAAAACTTACAGAATTTCATGGTACGTTCTCTGTCATTTGGAAAGCTATTTTCCCCTGCTGTGATTATTATTCATTACTTAGATTAAATTTAAAATAATAAAATCAGTGTTTACTGCACTACAAGAACAGTTCAAACTCCTTGATATCTTTACTAGGTACATTTCCTGATGCTCAGCTTCCCTCAAAGAGGATCATTGGCCCCAAGAACTATGAGTTCTTAAAATCCAAGAGAGAGGAGTTTCAGGAATATCTGCAGGTATCAAACAAACATTTGGAGCAAAGAATATTTTTAAACTAATAAAAGAATATCTGGGGTTTTTTGTTTGTTTGTTTCCAAGTAACTTTATATTTACAGAAAGGGTTCAAGTGGGCAGTGTTAAAGTTTCACATGACTGAAAACAGAAATCTCATGCAAATGACGATATCTGTGGCAGTATAATACTTTTTGAATAACTTTTTGCTATACAGAAACAGATTTTTAAAGGTTAGTTTTAAAGTACTTACACCTCCTTTGTTCCTTCTGTTTCAAAGAAACTTCTGCAACATCCAGAACTAAGTAACAGCCAGCTTTTAGCTGACTTCCTATCCCCTAATGGAGGAGAGACTCAGTTTCTTGATAAAATGTTGCCTGATGTGAATCTTGGTATGTAATATGCTGCTTGTTTATGCTGACAAATAGTAATGCTGTGGATGCTGTGATTGAATTCTGTGATTCTGTGATTGACAGTAATAATGATTAGATGACTCTTGTGGATGTACGAAATAAGGACTGTGCTCCTTCACAGCCCCTAAAATTATAGCTCAGCAAGGAAGGTATGCTGATACTTCTTCCTTGAAGAAAAAAGACATTTTGAAGTTTTGGAAGCAATTGCTTCAGTGGCTTTTGAGTTTTTGTGTCGGCAAGAAAGATAAGGTTTCTCTTAATAAATTGCATAGTTCAAGAAAATTTACAGTATTGTCACAAGTCAAATCTGCATGTGTCTCTCATTGTTTGCAGATGAGATGGCATGAACACTTACAAAACTATCTTTGGATTTTATTGATTAAACTCCTCCTATTTTTTTATTCTGAAAACTCCAGTATTTGATATTTCTAGTATTAGCTGGTGTTAAGATCTTTCCTAAAATGAGCTACTTAACAGAATCTGTGTGTGTGATACAGGCAGGTCAAATGGAAATTCAGAAGTTCTAATGTCTAATGACAGTAGTTCACAATAAATCAAAAAAGTTGACTGTAGTGTGACTTGGCTGCAGCGTAGCTGTCCCAGAATAGTGGGCCTGAGCTGGTCAGGTCATCCTCATGGCCATTCTGTCTCCATGTCCTGTGCCACTTGTGGCTGTGGTCCCAGAGAGCCTGTCCGAGCTGCGCCACTGCAGCTCCTGGTCACGGTGTGGTCCTGCTGGGGCAGCCCTTCTCTTGGTCTGCTTCATGAGTTGTTGAGTGAGATTTCTGTTCTGAGCCTCGAGCCAAAAGGTTTTGGTTTTGTTTCAGGTCTCCTTTCTAGATCCAACTGTACATCCTTATAAAAGCTTATAATTATGGTGTTTACTCTAATACATTTCCTATCTGAGACAGTGCTTCACTTCCATAAAGAGCATTATAACAAGTCTTGGCATTTTGGTCGGGCTTTTTGTGAGGATGAGAGTTTTTATTATTATCATTTGATCATTGTACATACTTTCCGATGTAAATTCCATATTTAATGACATGTAGATAAGAAAAATGTTACTGTAATTGTAGTGCTTAAAATAAAACTAGTCCTAGACACTTTCATTTTTCAGCATTCAAAGTTACTGTGCCATATCCTGATAGCCTTATCAGGACACAAGAGCTGATCTTTAAGGCCACAGCTGTATCCTGTCCAGTTTAGAAAATTCAGCTCGCCAGGGTTTTTGAGGCTGGGTCTCCCCAGAATCTCTCCAGATTTGCTGATTTTTTCACAGGAAGAGGAGAATCTGAGTTATCTTAATTTCTTCTGTGATAAGTGTTTATGCTTCTGTGAGTAACTTAAATAGAAGGAATTTTGTCTCTACTGGTGTTGAAGCAGTACTACTGTTACAGTGTTAGAGCTATTTATGGTTAAACTCTGGAAGAATTAAGAGGTAGAACTATAGTACTTTATTGTGGGGTTTTTAAAAAGTATTCAGATTAATAATCTGTATATTTCCAAGTATATTTTCTTGAAAAGTAGTAATCACTAGGTTGCAAGCTGGTTTTGTGCAAGACTGTTTTCATAGGGTTTTGTGCCAAATCAAAAAAAAAAAAACCCAAGCAGATTTTTAAAAATTATTGTATTTTCAGATGACTACTAGACAATGAGTGCATAAAATCTAGCAGACCAAAATGTCTTTCAAATCAGACAGTAATAACAGAAAATGTTTGTTTGTTTCTAATTGTAGGTAAAATCATAAAATCTGTTCCAGGAAAGCTGATGAAAGAGGTGAGTAAGTCTTTCAGGTTGCCAATATCTTAACTTCATTAGCTAATTTTATGAGATGACTGAGTTACAGGCTAATCAAAACTTTGTTTGAAAAATCTTCTTTTTTTGTTGCTTTTGTTTTCACTTTCCCATAATTATGCAAGTGACAAGTCACTAATTTTTTTTTTCAGAAAGGTCAGCATTTGGAGCCATTCATCATGAATTTTATTAACTCCTGTGAATCTCCCAAGCCTAAACCGAGCAGGCCTGAACTTACCATTCTGAGTCCCACTTCTGAAAATAACAAGAAGGTACAGTAAGTCACGTTCCTTTCCCATTTTACAGAAGTGGGGAAGACTGACCACACATTTTCTCTCACACTAGGGAGCTGTCTTAGAGCTCATTAACTAAAATTACTTCAGATGAAGCCAAGCTGGAAAATGCTGTCTAGGAATGCAGACACGGAGGGTGTTCAGTCCAAAGGCCAGACCAAAGGTAGACTGGAGTAACACACTTTCCTGCTCCCCAGATACATGTGGCATAGACTTGAGCTGTTCAATTCTGCACTTTCACTTCTGTTGTGAGACATGACATCTTTGTGCAGATGTGTAGCCTTCCAGTTCCTGAGGGAAGCCTGCAAGAAGGATGGAGTGAGACTTTAAGAGCATTTAGTGACAGGACAAGGGGAAAAGGAACTGAGAGTAGGTTTAGATTAGATATTAGGAAAAAATGTGTAACTGTGAGGGTGGTGAGGTGCTGGAACAGATTGCTCATAGAGGTTGTGGATTCCTCATTCCTGGAAGCATTTAGGGCCAGACTGGATGGAGCTCTGGGCAGCCTGGTCTAGTGGAAGGTGTCCCTGCCCACGGCAGAGGGTTGGGACTAGATAGTCTTTGAGGTCCTTTCCAAGCCAGTCCATTCTGTGATTCTGTGCAGTAACTGCTGTGCAGCAGCAAGGCACCTACCTCACTTCTGGTGAAGGAGGGGAATGCCAAAGGTCTGTTCCAGGACAGTGTGAGCTGCCTGCATGGAGTCCACATGGGCATCTGGCAGGCAGCCAAAGGTTAGCGCTTCCCGAGTGCCCATTTGGGAGAAGAGCATGTTATCTCAGAGCAAGAAAGTTCTTCAGATTTTTGGTAAATGGTGGTCGATTTCCACCTTACGCTTGTATTGTCACCGTGTTATCATGTGTCTTTTCTGGCACAGGTCTGTTTATTTCAGTTTCAGCATGCTGGACTGTGCTGAAATGACAAGGCATGATCCCTGGTGCTGCCATGAGTGGGGTGCCTGCAGGCTCCCTCTTCCTCAGCAGGTTGAATAAGAAATGCCTGAAGGTCTGTCTGGGCAGGGCCAGTCAGAAATGTGCCTAATGCTTTGACAGATCTGCGTGCTCCTTCCTTTTGAGTGTTCCTGGGGTGTGTGTATGTTTGTGTGGTCTAAATATTGGTGGAAAGATTTCTGTTTAAAAATGCACTATGAAAGTGGGTAGTCAACCCCAATATAACCAGGAGCAATTGGATTTCATTCTGTATCAGATCCACTAGAAATAAGAGTTACCAACCTGCCTGGTTAAAAAAACTCAAATGAACAAAAAAACCTCTGCTTTCCCCTCCTAGGGGTACTAGCAGGATTTCTGGCCATGTTTCTGTTCTGAAGGTTCTGTTCATCTTCTGAACATATTTTTGTCAGTCTTGCTATAATAGGTCAGGACTTCTCAGCTGATGCAGACTTTGCAAAATATGCCAATAAAGGCGTTGTTCTGCTGGCTTGTGATGGCCTGCCAACAGCAATAAAAGCTGTTTTTGGAACACCAGCAGTATAATAAATGTTTTTGAGTAGCTACTTGGAGGAAGACGTGGTCACTTAAACTGATTGATATGATTCAGACACTACATAAAATCTTTCTTCTTATTCTTTTGGTATCCTCTGTACTTTTTAAATAAGCAGGAAGAACAGGAGAGAGGTTTATGCCTCTGGCTGTAGATAATGTTCATAGTCATGGTATTGTTTTTGTATAGTTCACACCTGTGCTGGAATGTATGGGTGTATGTTTGCATATGCACTGACCGTTGAGTAACTTTTTTTTTCTGTGAGGCACTTCATGTGAGCATTCATGCTTCCTTTGCTTGCTTTTCCCAATAAGGCATGATAGCCTATTGTACAAGGGAATTACTTTGGTCTTTTTTCTTAATACAGGCCTTTTATCTTTCACTGACTTCAAGAACTTGCCTACCATTATTAATCAATACTAATTCATGGAATTTCCTCATTGTAAGCCTTTTAAGAATATTTCATGGTTATAATCATAATTACTGTTTAATCTTAAAGGTACAAATAATGACAGCATTGAGGTTTGTAGTGTTAGTCTAAATATTAACATGCACGGAAACATCTAAAGCAAAATCCTGTGCTTATCTGAATTGTGAGTATAATCTCAACTTCTGTGCTAGATAACCAGTTGTGTGTTTTTCACTTGAATTTCTTCTGAGCCAAGATACTGGAAAGTGTAAAACATGGAAGTAGAGGTCTAATGCCACTTTGTATTATGGCTGCTGCAGAGCATTGTAGATTGCATTCTGAAATACTTTCAGTGTGTCTCTGATCCAGGAACCATTACTGTTTAAAGTGCAGCACAGATCATCTGTGTATGGGGGTACAGTCAGCATTCAGAGGATGCTGCTTCTGGTTTGGGGTGAAAGAGGAAATACCACTTGAAAGTCAAGAAGCTTTGCCCTAATCTGGCCTTCATGTTTGATTTTTTGATAGGTTACCTACCAGATTGCTGTTAGTGATTTAGTTTGGCCTCCAGACACTGAACCTGTGTCTACGTTGCGCAATGAGCTGCTTTGAGTTGGCTCAGTATGTATCACCTTTGTCAGCTTGTGAGGTATATCTAAAAAATAAAGGAGGCTCTTGTTGAAGTTACAATACTACAGCTAAGGTTTTTCTGCTATTCTGGTTTCAGTATTGTGGAGGATGTAGACTTTAGTTTGTATGGAGTTTTTTAAGCAACCTGCCAGGGATGTTTCCATAAAGTAGCTGTGAATAATTATGTGTTCTTTTTAGGCTTGTTACATTCCTGGATACCAGTCATCCACCAGTGCATTAGCTATATTTGCCTTTCTGTGTAATTTATGTAATAACTTGGTGTTGTTTAGTTTGAGTGAATCTTGTGAAGGTAATACCAGCAGCTCAGCACTTAACAAAAGAGAGGGCCTGATGGAGTACAGGTCAAAAACCTGACTCTTGCCAGATGTCCTGATGTAATTTTTCCTAAGAGTGCAAAGCATTCTGTTTAAGGGACTTGTGTGATGTTGTGATTTGCATGTTTTTAGCTTTATTTATTTTGGGGAGAATTGCAGTACAGAAAGTGAACCATATATAAGCAAATTACTTCCTGTTCCGTGGAACTAATGTTATTTTGGGAGTGGTAAAAAAACCTCTCTGAGTGGCAATCACCTCAGCCTAGGCAATTCTGTGATTATGTTGCATTTGCTTCTAGTTCTAGGATTTTTTTTTTAGAGCCCTGGCATAAACTTTTGAACTTTCTTTTCATAATATAGAGTATCTGGTATAAATCCTATTTTATATCTAGATTAACTATTTTGGGGGCAAGTCAATTTAAAATAAACTGTTAGTATGGATTGCTAGATATTAAACATGGAAAGCATTACGATTTAGATCCTGATTTTTCCTTTCCCTCTTTTAGGATTCACAGACTTGGGGGCAGGGGAGGCAAGGACTGCTACCTAGGTGGTTTGGGACCCCTTTTGGTGTTCAGGGAAAAGGCTCTTGGAGTTTTGCAAGAATTAGAGTATCTTTTCGGAAAGAGCCAAAGGCAAGGAAATAAAGGGATCACGGAGGAAGGTGATGACATAAGAGAATAGAAGGCTAAAGGAATATAACTGAGAAATGAGATAAATGGAAAGAAACTGAAATGTTAGTTCATGAAGATTTTACTATAAATAGTTAAACTGGCAGGGGAAAAAGGCATTTCTCTGTGTAAAAAACTTGTATATTTTGTCTAGAAACCATTGTATTTATTTCAAAGTGGAAGCCAACAAGAACTTCTGGGAGTACTTTGATGTTGTAGGCTTCCCTTGTGATTTAAGACAGACAAAGTCTGTATCCTCTTAGCCCCTCATTTAAGGGATCCATAAGGATGGATCAAGGAAATCAGAGCCTATGACAAAAATCTAGATGCATACAATCATATAATTGTTTAGGTTGGAAGAAGGTGGTGGGAGCAGAAAAGCTCATGAATTAATGTTCCAGTGCTGATTTGTTCTGAACCCAGGTATTTTGGTTGTTGTGTATCTTGGCAGCATGTGATGTGCTCTTTATCGGAAAGTGAAGGATTTGAAAAGCAAAACCAGAAACAATTAAACAAATCAACGCCCCTGATCAGTTCTTTGGAAGCTCTGGAAAGAAGCTGCTTCTATAAAAAGAAACCAAATAACTGGTGGCTATCCTTTTGCCTTTGAATGCAGTGGTTTCAGTCTTTTGTTTCTGTTTTTAGCTTTTTAATGATCTGTTCAAGAATAATGCAAACCGGTCTGAGAATACAGAGAGACGACAAAATCAGAACTACTTCCTGGAAATGATGACTGTAGAAGGAGTCTATGACTACTTAATGTATGTTGGTAAGAAGTGATTTCTCTTAATTATTCATATACTTCATGACAAATATGAAGTTCACAGTCTCTGGTAAGAAATGAAATCCTATTGTAGCAGTCATACATAACTCAACACTTTCAAGCTTATACACAACTTAGTGACATGGTCATTCCTTAGAAGACTTTATTTTGGTGCTAAAATGTCATTTATCATTCATCACTGCTTAGTTGCTTTGTTATGTCTCCATCTTTCTGCATCTCAGTAGTATGAGCTTATCAGAGTAGGTCTCATCCCTTTTCTCAGGTCTACCTAGGCTGCTGATAGATTCTGGGAATTGGAATTGTTAAATTAATGTAAATAGCTAAAGGAAGTATTTGATAAGCACTGTGGAGAATACTGATATTTTCAGTGCTGCACTAACAAAACTGAAATATTTTTTCCTTGCTTGCAATCTTTTTTTTTTCTTTTCTTTTGAATAAATCATTCCTTTATCATGAACATTAGGAGACCCTCATGTATGTTACTACTCATTGATGTTGCTGTGACTTTGCAGGTAGGGTAGTTTTCCACATTCCTGACTGGCTGCATCATCTCTTGATGGGAGGAAGAATTCTCTTCAAAAACACGTTGGAATTGTACACAGACTATTACTTGCATAACAAGTTAGAGCAGCTGTTTGAGGAGCACCGGTTGGTTTCTCTGATAACACTACTGAGAGGTCAGTAATAGTTACATCTTTGATGAGAAAATACTGCTTAAATCTGGTGTATGAAATCCCTTCAGTGAAGTTTCTGAGTGCTAAACTTTGCAATGCTGACTAACACTGGTGGAGTATTAAAAATCAAGTGGGCCTGGACTAACTTCAAAGCTTGTTGTGGAAAGATGTTAAGCCACCTATGTTGTCTGTCAGTGATGATTACAGAAAGTATTATGAATAATAAATTGCTTGGTTGTGCAAAGAACAAGAAAAACAGAATAAAGTGGTTTAGTTCATCAATGCAAATGTTTCATGAAGTTGTCAAGTTACTTCACTTGAGTACTACATCAGTCTTTTATTGTTAATTTTGTTTTATTGTTAATTTTTGGGTTCCCTTTGTTGTGGTCGGCTCTTGAGAGGGCTTGAGTGTTCCTGACCTTCAAATAAGGGAAGAGGAGAGCGACTAAAAAAAATTTTAAATTACCTCACAACTGTAAAATATTACGTGACTGGAGTCTGATCCAAACACTGCATCTGGCCAGAACTCTGGAGTCAGGACAGCTCTGTCCTTATCAAACCAAAAATAAAGCTTGTGAAAGGCAAAAAAGGAGAGCCTAAAACCAAAACTGAGCAGCTGGTATTTCAGATGAATAGCAATCCTTGCTTTCTCATTCATAAATTTAGGTAAATTTGAAGTTTTGACAGTTCCAATCAGTGTTTTAGCACAAGGTGTAAATACTGCTTATAGTTTTGAAAGCATAAGGGAAATGGTGATTAAGGATCACAAACCTTAATAACCTAAAATGGAATTGATCCAAACTTTAAAGGGAATTCTTCAAACTTTGACAAGAATGGAAACAAATTGTGAAAAGATGATTGTCCTTCAAACAGGAAGGGTATTCTGGATTTGATCGGGCTAATGTAAGCAAAAAGTATGATCTGACAAGACTAGAATTCCCTTCTAATCAACAAAATACAGAGAAGAAGTTCAGTTTTGAAGCCACAATCTAAAACATATTTCTGTGTCAGTGATGTGTAGCTGCCTAAAGATACATTTTTTTTCCATGTGTCCTTGCTGCAGATGCTGTGTTCTGTGAGAACACTGAGCCTCGCTCTCTCCAGGACAAACAGAAACGAGCAAAGCAGACTTTTGAAGAAATGATGAGATACATTCCAGGTTCTGTATTCCATGACTGCCTCTATGAGTGTGGTTAATTGTTCAAGCACATATTTAACCCAAATACAGTCACACTGTCTTTCCAAATCAAATAATACTTGGGCTGCTGAGATTTGAGTTGACTGGAATACCAGGTGTAAAAACCCAACAGTTGAGTTTCTTCATTTAAGTGTTACTGAATAAAGTTGCAGCATAATGATTAATAAACATGGTGATGGAATCAAGAGCTTTACACATGTACTTAGTACCATAATTTTTCATCTTTTGAATGTTCCTATGGTTTGTACTTTATCCAGATGAAAACTGTGTTAAAAAAAGGCGCATCATTAAGCTGGAAGGTACATCTGAGTTGTCCTCACACTGTGTAAACTAGGAAAGAGGGGCCCATTTAATTGAAAGTAATTTTTTAAAAACCACTTGTGGTTTATTAAACAGTGCATTAGAACAAAACATTGATATTATAAAAAGTTTAGTAATTATTTTGGTGTGGAGCCCTGAAGGAAAGGGAAGAGAAAAGGATGAACCCAGAAGTGTGGGGTTTTTTTCCATTTACCATTTGAGACAGAAAAAAAATTGAACTCTAATTTAAACTTTTTTTCTTATTAATTAATCAAGTTCTGTAACTGCATAAAGCTGCTTTGCAGCACTTGCTCATGACTTATGTATTTGTTTTTGGAATTTGGTCCAGATTTAATAGGCAAGTGCCTTGGGGAAGAGGCTAAATACGAAGGCATCAGGCTTCTGTTTGATGGACTGCAGCAACCAGTGCTCAACAAACAGGTAACTCATAATGTGTGACAAACCTGCCTCCTGGCACAGGATTTACTAAAATGAATGTTTGATATAGCAGAGTAGTGGGCTCTTACTCAGAATTAAGGAAAAAAAAAAAAAAAGCAGTAGTTTTGCCTTGTAGTGTCCTTAATTTTCTGTATTTTCTTTTAGTTAACATATGTTCTGCTGGACATTGGGATTCAAGAACTCTTTCCAGAGCTGAGTAAGGTATGTGCTAACTCCATTTTTCAAGCTGCTGCTGAGTCTGGTCACTGGTGCATTTTTGCTGTTGTTATTACTAATATTCTTAATTTTGGAGGAAATTACATGTTTTCCAGTATGTTGAAATAATTGAAATCTGGATTACATTTTGGCTAATTAGCTCTTTCCAAATCAGCTCAAGCCCATTTGTTTAGCATGCAGCAAGTCTGAGTTGCCTTTCAGGAGACTTGGACAGATCAACCAGCAGTTGGGATCTCTGTGCCTTTGATTGATTTGTCTCCACTCTATTTTATTAATTTTCCAATTTAGGAAGGGAATTCTGCGTGCAAAGCTCAGGTGAAGCTGCAGCATTTTTCTTGAGAATATCTGGCAGGAGGATTTCTTACCTCTAATTTGGTCACTGCAATGTTAACTTCAGCTATTCAAATAAAGGAGAAAGAATTTGCAAAGAGAAGTGGCTATATAAATGCATATCATTAGGTTGGGATGTTTGATATGTATTCTTGTGTATATCAAACCTTGACAGATTTTTGCATAGCAATTTTACAGTTTGGTCTTCATGGCAAGCAGGAAATACCTGCTAGTTACCTAGTAAAAAACAAAACCCCAAACAAATTTTAAAAACCCCCTCTCTAACAATAAATGTTCATTGTATGAGCCCTGTGCCTGAGAACTGTGGAGTGCCAGCAATGATTTGTTTTGCATGACAAACAGAAACAAATACGAGATCTTGGAACAAGCCGGGACACTTGCATAGTTTTCAGTGAAATGAGGCTGGCTCAGCAAGTCTGACCTACTTTGTGCTTCAGCTCTGTAGCTGCCCTCCTCCAGCCAGTGCTCAGACAGCTGACCAAGGCAACAAGGAAGTAGCCTGGGAACTTGAGTGCAGAAAAAAAGATCTGACTTAGCCCTGTTATTTTACTCAGCTGGACTGGTTTTGTATCTCAGCAGCTAATTATATATATTTATTGTAACACTGGATTTCTGCAGTTGATTGTGGAAAAAATGAGTGGCATTTAAATAGTCTTTAAAGCACCAGTCAGGCCCAGAGGGTGGTGATTGATGGAATGAAGTCTAGTTGGAGGCAGGCCAGTAACGAGGGAGTTATCCAAGGGGTCAGTTGTGGCTCCAGTCCTGTTTAACATCCTCATTAATGATCTGGATGATGGGACAGAGTGCAAGGCCTGATGATGACACAAAACTGGGAGGGGTGGCTGATACACCAGAGGATGCTACCTTCCAAAGGGACCTAAACAGGCTGGAGAAATAGACTGGCAGGAACCTCATGAACTTCAAAAAAGGGAAGTGCAAAGTCCTGATCCTGGGGAAGAACAGCCCCAGGTGCTAGGATGGGCTGGGGGCCAGCTAGCTGGACAGACACAAAGTTGAAGAAAGGGCTGATGGTACCCTGGGCTGCAATAGGAGCAGTGTTGCCAGCAGGTCCAGGGAGGTGATGCTGCCCCTCTGCTCGGCAGTGGTGAGGCCACACCTGGAGGGCTGTGTCTAGGTCTGGGCTTCCCAGTAAGAGATGGACATGGAGATACTGGAATGAATCTGGTGGAGAGTCATGAGGATGATGAAGGAGCATATTTCCTATGAGAAGAAAAATACCTTTATGCAATAAAGATATTAAAATTTAATACCAATTGCAAGTAAATAAAATATTTGTACTTTTAATTTAAAAATTTGTTTTAGCTATTACCAGTAAAAGTCTAATTAATTTCACCAAAATCTCTCACTGAATGAAATTACAGGATGACATCAAAAAAGACAGCTGGGCAATCAGCCAACTTAAGCTTTGCTAAAAGAGCAATTACTGAATGTCTTCCTGAAAGTATATGTAGAAAAATTGTTTGGAAGAAGTTGTAGAATACTCCCATTAAGTTATTTTAAAGTGTCTTAACAAATACTTTTTTTTTCCAAACAAAGGTATATGATTAAATCTATTGGATATAAATAATTAATCTCAGAACTGTCTTTAGCCTTCATCTTTCTGTGAGCATGGAAAGTCACATTCGTAATTCAGTCTTTTTAGCACCTGATCTGCAAATCTAAAGCCCTCTTAAAATAATAACGGATGTGAAAAGAAATTTTAATGCAGTTTCTTATCTGGCTTTGTGGGTTTTTTTCTGACATCCTCTTTACAGGCTTAGAAAAGAGGATGTGAGTCTGTTCACAGCATTTTATAAAAATTCATTCATATAAAAATGTGTGGAAGATTTTTCTCTGTAAGTCTTGATTTGTTGACCCAGCCTTTATAAAAGACATTTTGAAAAGGACTTCTATGCGTGGGTTTATAACAAGTTTTACTCGCAGAACAATACAGAGATGCTTTAATAGACATTCCTTAGTTTTTCTTTTCAAACACCCATTTTCTACAAACACACCAATCTAATGCAGCATTGGTGTTCTTTGTCAGTATAACTCGTCTGTATTACTGTTGCAAACCTTTCCCTTCTGTTTGCCAAAGGAAGGTAAAAGTGTTTTCTCTCCTTTCTGGCTCTGCCAAAGCAGTTGTTGCAACTCTCACAATCTGTGTGCAGGCACAGCTCTGTCCATCAGTGCCCTCTCTGTTACTGGTTTGATGTTGATGAGGGAAGACCGTTCTGTAAATTAACAGCTTGGGGGGTAGAAGTGGCAAATCATCAATGCCAGGGCATAACTCCCAGTGTGACAAGGTCAGTTGTTGTTTGTCTCCCTGTTCTACACCCCTTACCTAATACAGCTGTGTAGTCCAGAGCCTTTCAGGCACAGCCCTTGAATGGATGTGGAAGTGAATGGGGTCTTTAAATTCCAGCATCCTGAATGTTTATCTTAATGCCCCTTCTCCTTGAAATCTACAGGTGCAATGAATGGAAGAGGCAAGTAGCTTCAGTGTTGAAAAAGAGCATAGTGAGCTTTCCAAGGAAAACATAGCAGGTTTATTCAAAACAATCAGTTTAAAACAGCATTAAACAACCCAAACATGTTGATGTCAAAATTCCCAGTAATCTTAGAAAAATAATGATATTTTCACCCTTGTTTATAAGCAATCATTTCTTGATAAAGCATCAATGTACATGTAGCATTTAATCTCATTTCATACTTATTTTATCCTGTTTCTTACAACTATTTTTTTAAACACAGCCTTCCCATAGAAGAGGTATAATCACAGTTATCATAAAGCCAGGTTATGCTGTAAAAAGCCCCATTACCTGACTATTTCCAAAGGATGCCAAAAGTGTTGCAGGGGTCAATGCCTGTATCTGACATTTTCATGGAATGTTGCTAATACAGAGTAACAGGCAGCAGTCCTGTGCTTTGTTCTTTGGAAGAGGTTTAAAAGTGAGCATATTTATATGAAATACAGTCACAGATTTTGTTCTCATTCTAGGTACAGTGCCCAAACTGGTCATATTTAGGAGTGAAGAATAAATACTCAATTTGTTAAAATTGGTCAAAATCAAGTCAAGCTTTCATTTCATCCTTTATTAATGGAAAAGTGGGATATTTCTTTCTCAGTAGTAAAAGAAAAACTTTTTAAAATTACATATTAAATATACCTCATGATTTTAATGGCACAGAGTTTAATCCAGCTCTTTCGGGCATTCATGTAGGTATGATAAATACGACTGGAAGCAAAGTAGAGATATTAGATTGAATACCTTAACCCTGAGTGGAGATCAAGGAAATGAATATACAGCTCTAATAAATCCATTTCTAGAAGCTTGTTTATGCCTGGAATTGGGTTCTTAACTCACTGTCTAAAGCAGCTAAAAGAATTTGACAATTTACAATACCCCATTTCAGTCTGTCACTGTTTTATGATTGAGCAGTATGTATTCACTGGAACTTTGCTTTTGAGACCTCAATTTCAGGTACCTGCTGATTCTGACCAAGAAAAGGTGTGGATTGTGCCCCCTTGCTCTGCACACAGTGCTCCAGTGGCACCACCAGGTTAAAGACAAGGCAGGGAGCTGCTCACTGCTGACACGCAGCAACCTCACGGCTCATTCATTGTAAGGTGTAACAGAAGAGAACAGGTCTGTTACTGCTTCCTCAGTATCATCTCCTCTCCTGTATTGCTCAAAACAAAAAATCAAGTGTGCAAGAATGTTACAGTGATCAGTACGGAGATCAGGGTGAGACTTGCTTCCATTAGACTTCCAGAAGAAAATTTTATTCGACCTTCAACTGCTGGGTAAACTCTCTTCATTCTCTGGAGGTAGCGGGAAACAACCTCAATGTCAGGTTCACCTAAAGAAACAAACAAACAAGTGTTCTCTGCATCTGCCAAGCTCTTAACCAAAATGTAAGAACTTGCCTACATTCCAGTTTTAGCTTAAGAATCAAATTGTTTTCTGTGGTTTGCCATTCTGAATCAGCACCCATCATCTGTGGTGGTTTGTAGCCAGAATTTTTGGTAGCAACTTTTACAAACATTTTACTTGTATTTTACAAACAAACAAACACACAATTTATTTTTGTTTTGTCTGGCTTGTTTTGAATTTGTTACAATGGTATTTTTCAGTTCAAGTACATTGAGATAGTCTCCTACCTGTTTGGGGTATAGGGCTGTAGACCTGGCAAAGCTATTGCTTATACTTTTTCAAATTCACTTTTTTTAGAAGATTCTAGTCTTGGCACTGCTTGTGTGCACACAAGGTATTACATGGGTTTTCTGCAGTGGGAGACCCTTTTCAGTCACTGCTGCCAGCCATGCAATGAGCCCCTTCTGATCCAAGCTCTTAAAATCCGAAAGGGTAACCCTCCATCTTAAGAATAATTACAGTTTTACCCTTCTGTTATACTGAAAGACTTTACCAGAACCTTACAGGTTGTTTCCTGTCACTATTCCTAATGATCTTTCTCAGTCTGATGAGTAGGGCTGATGTTTTAAATCAAGTTTTGCTGAACTTGATTTAAAACACCAGTTGCACCTGTGGGAATCAACTTAAAACGAACTTAAAATTTAAACACTTCTAGAAACAAAAAATTAGCCTGTAACAAAGGTCCAAAAGGCAAATTTTTGAGGTAAAAGCATACTTTCACCATGCACAAGCAGAACATAAAAATTAAAGTTCTGCATAAATGTAGATTGGCTCCTACAAGACATTTCTTTTTTAAAATACAGCACTACACCCCTTTTGTGTTTTCAGAAATAATGGATTTCGATCTCAATTTTTTTTCCCCTTCATCCTAAGGGATGGACAATGCCAATTGTACAAACACAGACTTTCCAACACTTTGCATGCAGTTTTAGAGGACTTTAAAGCCAGCATTGTAAAACCTCTCTCCCACTTGTGTGATGTGGTGTCTGTGGCACCCTGCCTTCTCCTGCCTGCAGAGCTCCTGGGGTC